TAAATAATTGTATCAAGAAAAAGATGTCTGTACTCAGAACTTAGAATGGTACCAGTATTTTGCTGCAATTTTCAAAAACAATGGATTTGGAGGATTAGTATATGTTATAGCACGTATTGTTATAGCACGTATTGTTAAACGGACTTGCTTCACGTTTTGGGCTTGTAGATGCTCGAAAATCAAGAAAACCAACCATGTTCTTGTAGTCTGGTTCCCTGACCCCACTTAAAATGAAACGGAGCAATTTATAGATGTCTTGTACCTCTTCACAGGTGTGTAATCAATTGCAAAGAAATGCGGAATAACTAAATATGAAAAATTAGGAGCAGTTTTTGACGAAAAAAAAAACAGTTTCCTCCAACACTGGTCGGCCGACCAGCGTTGGAAAAGTACAAGTTTTCTTGCAAATGTCAGCACACCAGGAACCACGATTTTACAGGATGCTTTGGACTGCCATTCCATAAACAATCCAGTAAAATGTTTCGTGATAATTTGATCATTTCGTTATTTGATGTTTGCAAATGTTGCATCTTCCCTTTAAAGAGGCATCCTCGTGCTATTCGAGTTTCACCCCGAAATATTTTTTTTCACTTTTGAATGAGAATTCGAACGAAAAAATCCACCGACTTTAGTTGTTATTATTTGTTCATTTATAAATTCGATTTAATGTGTGGCCCGACAATAATTCGGCTCTCTCGGGGTGGGCTCATTTGTGCGCAAAATGAAACCCCTTTTCAGAGGGTTACAGTCGCCAAACATCATAGAAAGCTATTTTCCCCCGTTAAAACAAAATGTAAATATTGAATTTTCGTTGGGAGAAAAATCCACAGAGCACGGAGCACGCATCTTTAATTTCAGTAGTTTGAACAGGTCACATAATGCGTAACTCAGTGACCACGGGGAATTCAAAAAGAAAACATATTTTCTGTTTTTCTTTTATTATTTCAAGCGGGTGCACAAGAGTTGTGACACCATCAATTTTTTATTGAGCTATAAAAACACAATCCTCGGCCCAGGGGATCCATAATTCCTAATGGATCACAGCCAACAAACACGCCTACTAGGACAAGGGTATCCACGGGGGATCAACCACCGTTGCTCACGGTGCGTTCAGGGGGTGTTTTGTTGGGCTGAATTCAAGTTCCTCTCGAGTTTACAAAGTGCTCAAAATGGCGGGAATTGTATTGTCCCCTCTCAGGAGGAATAAAGGTAAAACAGGGAAGTGTAGCACAGGACTTACATTTCGATGGTTTACTTTGAATGGCTCCATGTCCAAGCAATAAGTGAATGAATAAAAAGACGTATCCTCTCTGAGTGACCCCCGTGTACTATTTCCCAGGTCTGTATCCTGACTTTAAGGCGTGATCCCTGGCTGTATGACATACTGGTTTATGGCTTCTGACTAGCCGCCTCCTTTTTTTAATCAAATATTTACAATATACATGTATTTTGGGTTTTTTTCTATGTTCTTCCGAGCAAAATTGTACCTATGTATGCAATTTCAGAATCTGTTAAAAGCGTTACGGTTCATTTGGACACAAAAGAATCATAAAAAGAGTCAATACATTTGCAGAATCCAACTTGGAAATCCGCCATTTTGGGGGGAAAAACGGCCACCTCCTCCCTTTTTTCAAAAGTCCGAACGAGAAATTATTTCAGAAATCTGCTTGCTCGGCTTTTAGGTTATATTAAATTCATTTCCTTCAAAGTGTAACTTCGATATTAGTCAGACATTAAAACGTAAAGGCTGTAACCAATTATGTAGTTATTCCTCACTTAATTTAAGTTTGTCGTTTGAATTTCCTTGATAAAAAAGTTGTGAAAATATCAAACACGCACTTTTCGTGCTTTCACCATAGACAGAGTTGTATACCTAGGACCACCAGCGCGGGCACAAACACCAGACACACAGGCTGCATGTGTGCGAGGCTGGAACGTAATCAGGTTAACTTTTTTGACTAAATTTGATTAGAATTCTCTCCGCATTGGCTCCACCGGGGGCCCGGGGGACTTCATGCAGAGTCCCCGCTACCGAAACCTGCAAAACCGCAGTAAAAACGGCAAAATTATGCACGGTCTTGAACTAAAAAATATGATAGGGTAGGGTTTGCACAGCATGGCTTCAGACGATAGTCAACTAGTTGGTATTGGGTAATCGGTTTTGACAGGGGACACTGACAAGCGTTTCGTACGCGTTTGTTGGACGCGTTATCACATAATGGACGCGACATTATATACGGGGCATGGCACAGTCAGGTGGCTGGTGGTCGAAATCGTTACCGACTGGTCCAAAGCACCAAACTTCGAAGACGGATTCTTTATAGCACATAGAGAAGATATTTAGAAGGGGTGACACCTGAAATTCTTTTGGGAAGGGTGCCTAATTTGCATAAATCGTAAATAGTCGCCATGTAATATATTTATTCCCATGTTTTGGTATATATATTCTTTATTTCTTTTTGAAAAGTCTATTTTGGGGGTCCTACTTACATAAATTACATGTTGTAAAGCATATGACTGGATGATTATGAGGACATAATGAAAGATCCAAAATGACTACCACAGTTGCGCGCATTACTTTTTTTTTTTTTTTTTTTTTTTTTTTATAGATAATGGATGTTTATAATAATGTCTCCGTCAAAATTTTCTTACATGTAATATTGGGGATTTCCTTGAACTTGTTCAAGCCCCCCACACCAGGCAAGCCTTCGCCTACTTTTTAGCCAAATTTACGGACACCTCATTCCCCCCCCCCCCTTCTTGGATCATAATGCCACTTGGCTAGCAGGGGTGATTAACGCATCCCGCGGTTAAGACTATAGGAATATTAGAAAAACACAAAGCAAAGTGCAACTTCAGAAGCACGATGGAAATCGTGCGTTCTCTTGCAGGGCAGAAAGCACGATTCCCGGTCCCATCTTAATTTCCAAAAAAAACCCAGTTCCGTTGTCCTTAAATTGCAACATAAAACGGTTATTTCGACCGACTTGACCGCTGGAAACATGGTACTCAATTTCTGAGAAAACCACTAACGTCTTCGATTAGGTTACCCGGGCTGAATTACTTTGGGTAAGGACACCTGCGAAAAGGGCACCTCTGTGGCTACGCCACTTCTTCCGTACTATTCCCAAGATGGCGCCGCGTCTGATCACCGTAGCCTGATCGGTAAACCACTAACTGTTTATTTCCATTGTGTGAGGACGCTGACATTTTGACCCACATGCTTAAAAGTACCGCTGAATGTCAATTTGGGAAATTGAATCATTGGCAGTGGAAGGAAATGTAATAATGTGCGGAACATGTTCGAGTTCAGCCGGGTCATGAGTCACATTATATAGAGAATGCAATGTGACGACCGCTTGGAACCGTGCACATGAGTTGAGCTGGGCCTATCACTTCAGTGTTTGTTCTGGAAAGGCTGTTTGTAATTATGAAGCTATCAAACCGCTTCCCCCACCCCTCCCCTGCTCTGCCTCATTGAGACCTTTATGGATTTCGGTCCTGTTTTGTGTGCACTCTAAAAAAAAATACTTCAAAACTGCATAGTTGGTTCAACTGGAAAAGTCTAGCTTGACTCCCAGCCGAACTGAGAGTCAGTCCAATAACTGTACTTCTTGTCAAGATTTTGACTGCAAATTCACTAACGGAATCACGGTCGAAAAATAAAAAAAGATCGGCGTCAGTCAGAATCAGTCAGAATTGTGAACAAAATCGCTCTTGTGTAGTTGCTATGCACGCAGCCCAGAGTAAACATGTATGATGACAAGTGTGAAAAAAACTCGCAGTGTTGATGGGTTCCAATTTGCGAGGAGGTACCGGGTATGCCAAATGGCGAAACTATAGGGTTAGACTTGGGGAGGGGGGGGGGCACCTGGGGTCAGGGGTGCACCATTTTTTCATGCGGGCTACTGAAGGGAAATGATATAATTATAGGCCTACATGTATTACTTTTATTCACTTAAAGGTTATAAATGGGGGGGGGGGGTGCACCTTGGGGCACGGACATCCACGTGGGGGACATGTGCCCGCCTCCCCCGTACTAACGCCACTGGTGGTACCTCGGAAGGGGCACTTTCTGGTGATCATGGGCACTCCATTGGTATCTCATCCTCAACAATAGAAGGCTCATTTTTGAATTCTCCAAAATGTTAACGGGAGAGGGGCACAATCAGGGCACATGTGTAGGCCTCGAGTAAAGGGATCTGCCTCCCCCCCCCCCCCCCCGTGCGCCCATGCCCCCATTTGTGCACCCATGCGCCCCCCCCCCTCCCCCGGCCACTCGTGCGCCCCACACCCTGAATTATGCCATTGAAACCTCCATGTCCAAGTTTTGGTTCTGGAGAAAAATCGGAAATGTTTTCTTCCATACATACATTCTAATGTAAGCGAGGGAAGAGAGTGGAAGGGGGGGGTGGAGCTGGGTGGCAAGATGTCAATGCTGTATACAAAATTGCAAAATATCAACCTTCAACACTACCTTCTTATTTTGCCGGTAAGAAAGCTAAGCACACTTACGTTTGGGTTCTCTCATGGATACGAAATGAAAGGTTTATGATTTCAAGACTTATTATAGAACTGTTTCCGGCCATTTCAAGTACCCATTACAGATGCGGATGTCGAAGTACATACACCCATGGTGCACCGAAGTAAGACCCTCCTATTTATAACAAAAATAAACCGTAATGGGAGGACCATAGGTTGTGACTTATTAAAATCACGTGATAATTTTATCTAATCGTGATGCTACTTGTTGATTTTACAGTGGTGCAGGAAAGCATTAGGAAACGCATCCTGTGCTCATGTCAATATCGTGCGGACAGGTAATCAGTCTGGATATGTATACACTGTGTGTATAACGCGTCTGTGATTGGGTCACGTTGGGGTATCACTGCGCCACACGCAGCCAATGGCGTGCTCTGAAGTTACCCCATTGAACCTTGTGAAGTTGTGACTGAAAAGAAAAGCCTTTCAAGACGTGGTCATCTACCTTTTTTGTATTGCAGGCTGCCGAATTGTGCAACGGAGCGTGCGCATGACTGGTCAACTAGCCAAGGAAGGTTTCTTTATCAAACTGTTCGAACAGTCTGGTGTGGTGTCCGGAACAAAAACAAAAACATCCTCTCTGCAGGTCGCACACTCTCCGCTGAGACGCTGAATGACTTTGTTAGCGATCTCAATTGCTCTCGCCAAGCCCAGAATCTGTCGGTATTTACTCGTGATTTTTCTTCCGAGTTTGTTGTGTCGGGATCCACGCGCGTCCTTCAAAGGTCGCTCGATCGGACGGGATCGAAGCGTATTTTTCACGGTGGAAGATATTTTCAAAGAGGTTCGGATGTGATTAGATCATTCTGTTTTTGTCAGGTTTCTCGTTTGACATTCGGCGACTCGCCTGCTGGTGTCGCAGCATCACGGTTTCATTTTACCGCGGAGGATCAACCAGATTCAACAGATAAACCCTATTTAACTTTTCCTTTCTGGTGTTTCTCGTCAGACAGCCAAAGCCAAAGAGCGACCCAAACGATGGAGGACAAATTTCTCATCGGCGGTCTTGCCCGGGCCAGCCTTGCCGTGATTCTTGTCCTGATCCTCCCGGGCCCAGCCAGCCCGGCCCCGCTGGCCCTCCGAGTCCACGTACCGGTGGACCGGTGGAGGCCCGTAGCCGTGCAGCCGCGCCCCACGTTCCCAGCCAAGCCTCGGGAACAAGTCAACTTGTCGGTGCCCAAACCCTTGGATGGTGATAGTGGTGAGATTGGTGGTGATGATGGTGATGGTGATGAACCAGCCTGGAGGCTGAAGTTCCGGGGTATGGATTTACCGCGACAGTTTGGAGCCTATGACTTGGATCACAACCGAGGGGTGAGCCTGGTGGAGCTCGCTGCCGTGACGGACACCGAGCTGAGGGACGCCAAGGAGCCGTTTGATGCTGCTGATTTAGATGGTGAGTGATCATTAAGTCAGTATTTTCACCCCAACCACTCAACCCCCCCCCCCATTCCCCTCCCTCCCCCGACAAAACTACCCTTTCACGCGATTGGCTTATTCTCCACTGAGATTTGTCATGATAAATCATTAGGACATTTTTGTAGTTCACCAAATTTGCCAAAACTTTGAAAATGAGTTTCTCAAATTGATTATTTCTCCCGTTATTTAATACTTACCACCCTTCTCACATTTTCCCTTTAAACATATTTGCATGTAATGGATCGTTTGGCTCCCAAGAGATTTTGTGTTTTCTGCCCCTGAAGGTTTGGACATAAACATTTCAAAGTTTATTTATCCATGAAATGGATATCAGTTTGCCTGTGACCTTTGCCAAGGGGAAATTTGACATTACATTTACATGGAAATTTGACTTACATGCTTCAACACGGCCTTCTGATTTGTACCACTATGTATTCTGAACGCTAAGTTTTTCCACATGGAACAAGTTAATAATATTAAGACGTAAACCTGTTCACATGTAAAATGCGTTGCCAACTTAAGGTTTCATGCGCCAAACAAAAATGATGTTATTATTTTACAGCTAAAATCGGAGAAATAACATAATATGTACATAGTAAGTCTATGAATGACTTCTTTTTGGCTTTGAAATCAGCTTTCTGCCAGTGTGGATCGAGTGAAAAGTCATGCAGCATATCTCAAAAAAAAAAATCTGAAAAAACAGAACGCTTGAAATCTTTATATAGGCATCGCAATGATTAACTTCAATTCATCTGCGCTTCATTCGAGGACAGAACTTCAAATTTATCGGTGGAAACTACGAGAAGACACAATAACCCAGCGAGGGGAGAGGAAAGAATGGTTTTCGATCCATGCACCATCCAGTATTGAAGTCATTTCAGTGGAATCTAGCCTGAAGAAGAAAAAAAAAACAACCTAGAGATGGGTTTGACTGCGTAGCCTACTCGGACAAAGAGGCGTCCTTAAAACTTCCAAGAAGATTAGAATGGACTCGGATTCGGATTAGGACTCTGGAATTCCGAGAGTCCTACTCATCCAAATAATTAATGTACTCAGTCAACACAAGCTTGGTGCTTAGGCTTGCTTCCTCCTGTATAACCTGATAGTTCAGTCAACCAAAATGTTTGACTACCACGCTGATAGTCTCAACGAGACTCTACAAATTGCTAAGTCGATAAAGCTTCACTCATTTCCCAACAAGTGTTTTCCATATTGCTCCACTTTATCAAGCTGCACACAGCTCGACCGAAAAGTGAGAAAAGATCACAATCTTGATTTACCGACCAGGCTGTCTTTCCGTCGTCCCCAAACTTCGCAGACTCAGTGGTTTTCCCGCCAATTGTCAAGTCTAATGTTTCATCAAACGATAGCCTATAATCCAGGAAATATACGGCACTGATACAAAGCAACGTAGTACTAGCAGAAGCTCGACCGAAAATTGAGTTTTCCCATGTCGATTGTGCACATTAACATTGTTTCCTCTTAGGCCTACTAATTTCCTCCCGTATGCGTCGATCCTTTCTTACCCTTGTGAACCACTCCCCCCCCCCCCCCCCCCGATATATCGAGTCTTATGTTTCACCAAAACGATATAACCCAAACAGAACTAAGTTCAAGGACTACATTTTCTAAACCCTTCAAGCATCGCCTGGAAGATTGGGGTGGCGACACAGGGACGTTTCATCAAGGATTAACGTCGGCCGTATACAAACATGAATGCATTACTGACACGGATATGGAGGAACAGGTACAATCGGCAAGATACCCCGGTCAAAAATAGCACCCCGAGTTAAAGTTACGGATACTGTGCTTTTAGCAGAAGTATGTGATGGTTACTCATTATTAACATCCTATTGAGTTGTCAAGCAAGGCTTGTGTTTATTGTCAATTACATGTAGTTCCTACCTCAGTCGCAAAAAGGGGAAAAGATGATGGTTGACTATATCTGCTCTTTTATTAAAATCATCTGTACTGTGACATCGGTTTCGGGACGGTATAGCGCATGTGTTTCCCATCCACTTCCACTAAAGCGCAGTGGAGTTGAGCGCCCCTCAAACAAACTCAGGTGATTTTCAATTATTATATATCCTGAGCAGACTGATCAGTGAATAGAAGCACAGTGCTTTACATTTCCCTGCTTTGAAATGGAAGGAAACGAGGTAGGAAGCGACAGTGTTTAATGGCGCGGGAGTAAAACCCATACTTTAGGTCAGATGCAGACTGTGACCTCAAGATCAGGCCAACTTTACTCACCGTTTAGCCAGCAAATTTCTCCAAAACATTCACTGGGCAAAGGAAAGGTCCTCAGTATTTCACCAACCAAGTTTGAAGACTCAATTCTTTTTTAAAGGAAACTTGTCTTCAACATTTGGCAGTGGGGCACATGAGAGGGAAGTCAAGTGATTTAAAAATGAGGCTAAAGACTATAGATTTGTATATGTCCATCCATGGTCCAACTGTTTGACAAGACTGACTTCTTCATTCATTGTCATTAGTCTGGTGCCTGGCTATGGACAAATGTGTAGAAATAGTGATCTAGTACCCGACATCCTAGATATTTCTTTTGGCACAGTCAGCTGGCAGTTGATTGATGCAGTACTGAAAAGTTGTTGGACTGGTTAATGTTTCAGATGTTCGTCTATTTTCTTGTTTTGCATGTTTTCAACACCTTAAGTTTTGGGACTCTCATACACAATATTGAGAGTCCCAAATTTTCGGACTAGGTCAGAGGGAACCCTTGCGATCAAAAATAAGGAACTATATACACAGGATATATACCTGCTGGAATCTCCGAAGATGAAAGGCAAAGGGAAATGATTACTGACCATTGTGCCAACCTGGCCACAGTTGATAGATCGACATCTCCCGATATCCGAGATAACTCTGAACAGGTTCGTTCACCCATTCACCTAATTCCTGTCACACTCATTTCTGTTGCAACCTTTGTGCAACCTCCTTCCCTCTTCACCGCCACTGGGTCGGAGGTCGAGTTTCTTTCTAATCTCACAACTATTAACGTGCGCTATTGTTCCGGGCACAATGGACTTCCAACGGAGTAACTATTGCAAACCCACAATTGCACCCATTAGTAAGATTCCTATGTTTACTTCGAGGCCTCGTTTCTCTTTAATCTCTGGCAATCATCCATGAGTCATTTGGGTTGAGCCTTGTTCTCCGTTACAAAAAAAACCATTCCAAAGAGGGGAAACATTGAAAGTTTACAAAGGCGTACAAACTAAGCCATGATGTAAGCCCTGCAATGGTTGGCATCTACAAGAGATTTGGTGAAGTCAATTTTCGTAATAGCTGCCGATGTCTTGTCATAGGAACTGTTCAAAAGGTTATAACACGGAGAAGGCAGTTCTGGAGAAAAAAAACAAGCTCTCGGAAGCCCTTGGATCTCAGAAGCTGCGGGTGGGGTCTACCCGATGTTCCACAATACCTATGTTCCCAATACCTATGTTACCCAAAATCCTTAGAGTTAGAGGGTTACGGTTAGATGGTTAGGGTGAGGGTTAGGGTTGGGAAACATAATATTGGGGAACATTATTGGGGAACATGCACCCACTTCGTGCCTATACAAAATTTCATGAAGGTCCGGTTCATGCATGAGTCACGTGATTGTGCCACGTAATTTCTGGAAGGAGTAGTGTTTTGAGTAAACAAAAACAGTTTTATGATCCTAGTGACCCCATGATGACCTTTGACCCAGTTTGGTCATGTGACATGTTGGGGCTGGGCTACTGATACTTTCGACAATGTTTGGTAGAAATCGGTCAAAATATATAAGAGCAATAGATGATGTCGAACTAACGGGGAGACATGATGATTTTGTTGAGTTGCTATCCTGCAGCTAAGATGAGCACCCGATGGGCCCAAGACGAACACAAGATGTTGATAAGTTCTTGCAATCTCGCCATTTCGGTACCAGAGCATAATCCGATAATGCATCGCTTCTGATAAACACTTCAAGATGCCACTCAAGAGAAAGAGCAATTGAGTGATTTGTGCCACTTACGCTGACGTCACTTATTGAAATTATTTCAAGTGGTTTATAAACTTCAAGCCTGGTGCCTGATAAGAAAGAATGTCGCTCCCTGTTTTGTGAATTAAGTATGAAGAAGAAAACAAAATAATTCACCAGAAAGCTTTCAAGGGGACCCACTCGAAGCAGTGTTTGTGACTCACCTTCGGAACTTAGAAGTACAAGCTGGAAGAGCAGATTTCATGTTCCAATTACTTACCTTTCCCACGACCTAAGTGAACTTTACACATTTCTCGTCAAAATCTGATAAACAGCAACGGCACCTTGTGGTTTGTGTTCCCGCCAAAAAAATGTCTGTTAGTTCGAGCAGGAAATTTTACTTTGTTTTTGGTTTAGCTTAAGGCCACACAGAACACAAAACGTTCCTAAACAGAATTATCACCATATAACCTTTCCCGGCCTTGTAACGAGTTTCTGTATTTGATTTAGAGTCCTGATTGGACGATTGGATTGTATTTCATGTCGTGTTCTCTATCGCAGACGGAGTCCAAATGAACGTTGGAGCACAGTCATTTAGAGTCATGGCCTAGCTCTTTAAAAGGCATTATTCCATTTTATGTACCCAAAGTTGTTCGAATGGAAATATGCTGTCTCCCTCTAGTGGTGGATGAGACCATTATCATGTTGCGGCCATCTTGATTTTTTTCTCATTCAAATCAACGCAACCAAAGCGAGGCGGGAAGGAAAAATAGTCTGGTTCCTTTTTGCACAAACACACCATTCAGTACTGATATTTGATACAGGAGCATGACTGAAATGGCGGCAACATGACAAAGGTCTAGGCTTTTATTGCTGTATAATATTGGAGAAAATGAGAGAGAGGCTTGGGTAGCGCAACGGTTTTGCCCGTCTGCAACTGATGGGTATAATACACTCAACCAGAAAAGAAAGCCCCCCCCCCCTTTCAATACTTTTTTTGGTCTAACTCAAAAACTACTGACCACTTCTCGATCAAATAACGACAAATCAGTGCACAAATTCCTTTAGTAATCCAGCCTTACTCTTTATTTGGCCCAAAACAGCGATAATATGTACACAATTAGGCAATTTATGACAAATGATATTGAAAAAATTGCACTTTTGTATACGTGCAAAAGTGTGGATCACACTCACCTTGCACGTATACAAAAGTGCAACTTTTTTCGGTACCATCTGTCATAAATTGCATAGGCCTAATTTTGTACACATTGTCACTGTTTTGGGCCAAACAAAGAGTATGGCTGGATTGCTAAGGAATTTGTTTACTGATCAGTCGTAATTTGAGCAAGATGTGCCCAGTAGTTTTTGAGTTAGACAAAAAAGTATTAAGGGAGAACTTTCTTTTTTGGTTGAGTGTATGACAGGTGGCATGCTCTATTGGCCGCACACTACAAATCTGATGAAAATTATCTCCAAAGAAAATAACATTTGCTTTGACAGTAATAAGCATTGTAAAAGTACAAACTTGATCAATTCCCGGATTTACTTGATTTTGACAGGAGGAATTAAGTTTTCCCCCGAGAGGGAATAAATGTAATTTCTGGAAAACCAACAGTCCGCAGGTGGTACGGGGTTCTTGGAAAGAGGGGGCGTTGGATATATCAGGCTATAGAATCTATAGACGGCCTTTCACATAATCCAAAATCTCCATGTGGGCGTCGCGAGGAAGGGGGGGGGGGAGGGGAGCTTAATAGAAAGGAGGGGAATAAAGGGGGAAGACGAGGTGCAAAGTCATATTGCTGTTACTTTAATGCAACATGGGCGGCCTCAGGGGTTTCAACGGGGTGGGGTGGGCAAAATGTCCCCCGTCCACCCTCAAAAAAATGATACATTGAGAATATGCTATAGAGATTTTGGGAAATAATGTGCTTTGCCCTCTCTAGCAAAAAAAATCCTGGCGACGCCCATATGTTGGACCCGGGTCCCCTATTTCAGGAACCCCTCAGTTCACACTACTAGCAAGAATCCAAAACTGCCAACACGGGTCCAGCGCTCCACCTCCGTAACGACCATGATTGAGAGGCTGTATACCCGGGTAGAAAAATCCGAAGTCTAGCCGACTACCCGGTTATAAAGTGTGAAGGATACGCCTTGCCTATCTCATCAGTGCTATATTCGGTGGCCCTTGTTGATTTCAACACGGTATGCGAGACGATAGTATGAACAAGTTGATTTCAGATTTGAGGTTTGGAACTGACGATTTTGTAAGAAGTTGAGTGTCAAAAACTTCATATAGATATCTGAATACATGTATAGCAATACCATGCACGTGCATCTGTTGGGCCGCTCTACTGGCAGATTTGAGATTTGGCAATGTTGGTCATGTTTGTCATCGCCTGAAAGAAAAGCGACCAGTGAATTTCAACGACCCGTGCACTTGAGGCAAAGATCACACGGGTCGCGACTCGTATTTGTTTTTCTAAACGGTCGATGTTTTGATGTTGTTTGCTATCTCCATCGCCTTGTCGTCGAGATGACCTGCATTTGACTTCTCAACAGCTCCAAATCGATCCTTTAAAAAGAGAAGAGTGTTTGGCTTGCTGTGGTCCAGAGCTATTATTTTGGACCGATTGCTCTTTTTTATGACCGGTAGAAGTTGGGAATAAAAATATCGGGTGGCTGACGATCAAACAAACAATTTTATAGCGAGGTAATTGGCTCAACGTATGCATGTGAATTGCTCCCCACTCCCGATAGTTATTTAGAACCAACCTGTAACTTAATCCGCGAAGAGAAATCTATTATGACAGCGAGATGAGCCCATCAGAAAGGATGCCCGAAGCCTACCCCACACACGGCTGCGTAATCGGCTTTGGCTCGGGGAAGGGAAGTCGGCCTGTGTGGTCCTCACCTCTCAGACAATGCAGCCTCGGGTGTTCCAAAGTAGCCTTTTAATTACTCCTTTTGGTGTTGGTACTTACTTTTTTGTGACCACTTAAAATGTGTCTTATTTGCTCTTGGTGTTAAAGATGCGGGATAAAAAGGTTCGATTTAATCATGGGTTAGTGCTCGTCGATTCTCTCCGGGCTTTGGATCTATAGCCAAAAGCTGCAAAAGCTGGAAGGGCTGTTGTTGAAGGTGTAGTCTGTTCGCTTTCTATTACCGTTAATCTCCTTTTGGGGAGGGGTATGGCACAGAGGACTCCCCGAGTGTTGCACTCAATGCCTTCAAGAGAGTAAAATGCACGATTACTCTCAAATTAAGAGTGGGTATTTCTAGTGTTTTCCTATGTCCGTTACTCCATCATTTTTCTTCTCTCCACTTGTCAATACCAATGGCGGATCTACGGGAGGGGGTGTTGGGAGTCCCCCTCCCCCCTCTTCTTCTTCTTCTTCATTCTTTCATTTTTATGATGACCTGATGGTCCTGTCCTCAACTGTGTTGCGTTGATAAAATTAGTGATTTCCACTCCTTCATTTTACTGATTTCTCTCCTTTCATTTGCTTCTTCCCCTGCAGGAAACAAAGTCTTGTCGCAGGAGGAATTCACGCAAGCTCCATGGCTCTTCGATGCGGGCGGCATCACTCTGCTGGATTCAGCCATGGACCATGGAACGGAAGTTGAGGCTAACGACGGTGGTGTAGAGACTAGGCAGCCTTAGCCAACAATGTGGGAGCTACATTAGGGAGAAAGAGGGCGCTGTCTTGGTATGAACGGTGGAAAATCAAGTTTATTGAAGCAGTTCAGTAAATGTACTTAAAACCTAGGAAAAAAAACATGTAAGTTTGTGTAAGTAAGGCAACATGTAAACTTAATTACGTCGATAGACCTGATGCATTATAAGGCGGAGTTAGAGGGCAATGGCTTTGTATAGCATGGATAGGCGTGAGTAAACCTTTTTGTGCATTCATTGTTAATGCATTTAAAATAACAAAGAATACCCTCTGAGACACCTGCGACGCATAAGGTCTATTTGCGTCCAGCTAATGCACAGCGGCCTCATTCATGAAGAAAAAAAATGGCCTAAGTAATCCTGGGTTTTCCAACCGGGGTTTTCCAACCTCGCAGCCTTCGCAGTGTGATGTATATTGTATAACTTGGGGGAGTACGGGGTAACGCCCCCTCCCCCACTCAAGGCCGGTGCCTCCGTGTGTCTCCCTTGCTCGTTTATAGTTTTGAAATAACAGTTTGGTTTCGTTTGAAGCCATGAGCAAATCATTTTAGTGCTTCCAACAAAAAAAAAGGCTCAAGTACTCCCTGGACACTGCGGCTATAATGTTTCTATCACAGCTTCCGGAGTCGGGAGTCTGTGACCGTTTGCACTAAGTACATGTATTATTAAAACAAAATCTTAATTACTCCGGAGATGAAGTAGAAGCTGCAGTTTGAGCCGAGCTTTGGGAAATGGCAAAGGATTGATTGTTATGAATGAGCATCGAGTTTTTTGCAGGAGGTTGAATTGTAGATTCCGTTATCGTGGGAAATGTCATAGTGTAACTTGAGCCACCGCACCCCTGTCGTAGGGTAACAACTACGGGCGAAGACCGGGATGGGAGGGGGGGGGGCAGCCCATAGCAGAGCTACACTTGTGATTTGTAGTTTTTAGTCAATTTATATCATCTACGTGCATTTAAAATACACATTTCGATCCTTTCCATTGGAATTAAATGTCGTGCAGTGTTATCTCATTGCTATAAAATTCCCTGTAGTAAATGTCAGTTTAATTGTGCAGCTCATTATGCATGTACTCAGATTTGTTGGGGGTTAATGAATTGTGTATGTTTGTGTGCAGGCTTGAGACCAGGAAAGTAACTGGCAAGAAGAAGAAAGAGGGCCCATTGTTAAAAAAAGAAGAAGTATCAGTCACTGAAATCATACAGAAAAGTTTAATAGTTGTACGATTGTCAGTCGGTCGAAGGCGTTCGTTTTGAAACGTTCCAGAAACAGTTGCGAACAAGTTCGTATCTAGGTTCTGTGCGCATTTAATTATATGCTTGCCCATACCTTTAATGGCCGTGGTTGTTATTGACACTTGGAAGGAGCACATTAAATTGAAAGTATATAGATGATGCCAAGGTTATCAGGTGAAGGACTTGTCACAAGGGTCACTGCCGGTATGCACAGTTTGTCGAGCACTATCCTAAACTCTATCTGACACTTCCTGGAGTAATATAAACACATAGGGCTGCTCTATCACATGTATATACCCTCTAGAAAAATCGGGGAAAATACTCAAATCTCTCCGCACATGCAATTAAAGCTTGATTTTCCCGCTTTCATTTTTTAAAGGTTTTTTTTAGGGGAGGGGGGAGTCCGATGACTTTCCCCTCCCAGCACAATCATTTTGTAGTGTATTCTCGCAGCCCATGCATCCTTCCGCTCAAGTCCAATTTCATCCGAATTTCTCAAATAAGCTCGAAGTCTGGTTCAGAGCTGCAACACATTTCATTTTTGGTTTTTAGGCCAAAAAAAAAATAAGTCGGTCTCTGGTCAGCGCGCGCGTCGATTTTAATCATGCGCGTCGATCTTTTTTTTTTCCAAAATGTTCCGCGGTAGCTCCAACAGCGCCCTCTATTTCCGCACCTCCTCAATTTTTTTTTTACCAAAGAGCACCAAGGAATGGGAAATTGCACCAAGGCAAATGATCGAAAGCACCAAGGCAAATTATGGAGGACACCAATGTACAGGAGGACACCAAAAAAGCAAAATAGTACCCCACCTTGTATGTACAATCCAAGCTTGAAGAAAAAAAAAAAAAGAAAGAAAAAAAAAAGCCGCGTCGCCGCGTCAATTCCTGAACTTTGGTCTGACCAGAGACCGAATATTTTTTTTTTGGCCTTTCAAACCTTTAAGGGAGAGATATAGTAAGCATATTGATAGCAATTTGTATGGCGTTCAGGCAATTTGGGCCAATTTACTGTCCTTCAGCCGTATTGCTGTATTCTCACAGCAAAGAGACGCAAATGTTCGTTTAATGTCTACGGCTTCGGGGATTTTTTTGGCCATTGGTGCGCTAATGCTGAATAGCCGTAGCCGTAGTCAACAAACCCGTTTTTGACAGCCAAACTTGACCAAACTTTTTGGAGGGAGCATTATAGTGAAATAATTTTCCATATTAAAATAAACGCGTGTGTCTTGCGCACACCGTTAAACAACTTCCTACATGTTTAAATTTAACAGGAGAAAAGTAAATATTAATTTGTCTGATACTGTAGACTGGGGCCATACTGGGACTATGATTTGATATGTTAATCTGTTTTATTTTATTAGTGATATCTACCTGCAAAACGTTTTCCTGGATGAAAACTATTAATTATATAATGTTTAACGAAACTGCATGCAAATGCCTTGCATTGAAATAGTGCGTCCGTATTTATTTATATTAACAAATTATGTAACTAACGTTATTAGGGGAGAAGATTTATAATTATACACCAGTACGAGCTATAAGTACCGGGTGAGTTAAAAAAAAAGAAGGTATATCACCAAAAATAATTATGATGGTAAGCCAATTAATAAACTACTTTTAGATTAGACTTCAATTGCTCAATCCGTTCAAAAAATATCGCTATTTAATCGAAATGACCCTAAAACCTTTTTCGTCCAAAATGCGATTTCAACAATTGTCGTTACAAATTGTCTTCAAACATCACCAGCGATATAAAACCTCAGTTTAAAAGTTAAACATATTCTACAAACTTCTTTTGAAGGCTCGTCTTTTCAATAAAAAGTGGATTTGATAAGTCCTATTTTATAAGTCATATTGGTAGAGCGAGAGCAGGGTTGTTAATATAGATATTGTGTACTACAGTTGTTGAAACAAGCATTCTGTGTCATTTTCTTTGTTGTTCCATGCAAACAGTCAGTTCGCACAATAAAGCGTTGTGTGTTTTTTTACCTAGGCCTAACTGATTTTAGGGTTTCTTCGTTTAAATATAGTAATAACATTTTAACTTGTAGTCTACAGCTATTGAAATAATTTTCTCACTTAAGGCCAAAACAAAAAATAAGTCGGTCTCTGGTCAGCGTGCGCGTCGATTTTAATCATGCGCGTCAATCTTTTTTTTTCTCCAAAATGTTCCGCAGTAGCTCCAACAGCGCCCTCTATTGCCGCACCTCCTGTATTTTTGTTACCAAAGAGCACCAAGGAATGGGAAATTGCACCAAGGCAATTGATCGAGAGCACTAAGGCAAATTATGGAGGACACCAATGTACATGAGGACACCAAAAAAGCAAAATAGTACCCCACCTTGTCTGTACAATCCAAGCTTGAAGAAAAAAAAAAAGCCCCCCCCAAAAAAAAAAAATCCGCGTCCCCGCGTCAATCCCGGAATTTTGGTCTGACCAGAGACAGAATATTTTTTTTTTGGCCTAAAAGTAGTTTAATAAATGGTCTTCCGAGTCATAAACAATTTTCAATTGGTGCTACATAGTTTTTTATGAAATATATTTCTTGTTTTGGGGTTCCGCTTTTTATGACTCGCCCTGTACATGTACGTTGTATTAGTGGTTTCAGTTTTGACGTAATAAATACAAGGATTCCTATGGTCTTCAAATCTTTATTTAATGAAGAGAAGTTCGCTTACAATCATCCTGTCGGCCCAAGGTCTATGTTTGTTCTATGATTATAAACATCTATATTTTCTTATATTGAGGTGCTTTTACTACTTAATTTATCATTAGCTTACGCTCGATTGTAAACTGTTTGAATAATGTATGAACAAGAATTTGAAAAAATGTTTGAAAGTGGGTTTGAGTTTCATTTTCTTCCCTGCCGGACGATTTTACTATTGCTTCTTGAACTTGACACATCAATCTTTGCTGATGTCCGGCGGCGTAGCTACGGGAGGTGGGGGGGGGGGGGGGGTGCACGCCCCCCAGTCGCCTCCCCCCCCCTGAAAATTTGGCATCCGGAGAAAAGCACAGCCATATGAGTTACCATGATTAGCTGGAAGAATTAAAAATTCCCCCTTTTCCGCGATTTTGTGCGTATTTTTCATTAAATTCTGTTTATTGTAACGTCCCTTGGCGCGAATGACGTGACGCGAATAGAGGTAGTTATTGTCTAATGTAGCCATGATATATACCTTTCGAACAGCGCCCCCATTGGAAGATGGTGTCCAGCCCCACCCAGTAGCCATCGAATAATTCCCCCACTTTCTCTTGGTGAAAAATACGAAATGTGGATTTTGAGGTACTTTTCACTAGCCACTGAAAAGGGGAGGAGTAAAAAGTACTAAAGTTGCAGATGCGCCGTTTTGATGTAAGGTTAAGGCTCGTAAGTGCCAAGTATTGTGAAGCGTTTTGAGACCTTTGGTATAAAGCGATATAAGCGCCACATTATTAATATCTGTATTATGAACAGCGTCCCTTAGTGTAATGTGGTGTCCAGCCCCCCCCCCCCCAAACCATTTTGCGATTTTCCACGGCCGGACAATTTTTAGATTTTGGTCATCCCCCATGCCCCAGTCGACTGCACAGATTTACGCGACTATTACACGGCATGTTGGTTGTTGGGTAGAAACCGTCTTGGCCATCTTGTGCTTTCAAGCGGCAACTTCTCCGTCCTCGCTGAGATCGTTAGCCAATCAGAGGAGCCCTTATAATAATTGCTAGTCGAGTGACGAAGTTATACAGCGTGTGTAGTCTTTGCTCAATTCGTCTCTCAGCTTCACCGTTTTCTGACCTAAACAGAAATTGTGTTGTTCTCTTTTGAAGTGAAAAAAAAACATCGAGAAGCACGGAATAATTTGTTCATGTACACATTTAATTTTGGTTGACAAAATGTCTCACTTTAGGACAAAGAACGATCATGACTAAAATAATTCAGCTCATTTTTTGGTCTAACAAATCACTTGCATATTAATGCGCTTTGAACTTGTATAGTTGTCTTAATTAATTACCATTTATTATCGCAAATATTATAATTACGATTTTTTTAAAGAATATCTAAAATCTAAACGTTTTAGAACTCAAACTTTAATTGAAATAAAAAAAAATGTTTGAAGATTCATAATTTATCACAGAAGAAAGACAGATTTGCCGTCTGAATGAAAGTAAAATGAAGAATGAACGAGAAATGAAATTGTAAACCAAAGAAAAAAAAACAAAATACATTTGTACAAAACAGTATTGAAGAAGCCTCTTACAACTAATGCCCATATTGAATCTCCACTGATTATATAAAGCCGTGATGAAAGAAGATCGCTCCCAACATTTTCATCAGGAGAAATATAGGGTTCTTTATATCCAGTTTAATACCCTATCCACGCCGAACCGTCCGAACGGCCAATCACGCAGCAGCCAAGGCGCCCTCCAGCGTTGCCGGTCTTCTTACTGTCTGCCGTGCCTCCTTTACCCAGGTCGTCCTCCCCAATGTGGATCTACAATCATTCAAAAAATACCAGTAAAAAGTGAGAAATAAGGGTCGAGGATATTGTGGTATCATTTGGTGATCACAACAACCAATTTGTATACAACCAGTCATTGAGCCAATTAGTGAGCAAGTTCGGTTGGGTACTAGAGTCGGCTATAGACCGAACCATAGTCGATCTGGATGTCACTCGAACGCTGCGTGGTTTGACTAGCTAGTCCAACTGAATCAACCTTGCCCCGGAGCACTGTTTCTCAGTCTTGTCAATTCGCGATTAACGTCACAATTTACGTCACAGGTAAACTGGGGCAAGTTTTGCAAACCTTTGATTAACTATTAAATGAGTAGTTTAACGATACATTGTAGGTTTTGGTCAATAATAATAAATCTTTGCAATGAGATAATTAATTATTACTTGCACTAAAGTTAAGTGGAGAAAATAATAGAAAATAAACATGACGTGCCAACATTTGCTTCGTTGGCAACGCAAAGGCTGTTGCAACACACTAACTAGATTTGACTAGTCGATCGACTAGACGAGTTCGAGTGAAAAACTGACCAGGCATACGCGGTTTAAATCGCAAATTGACTAGTTTAGTTTAAAAGGTCAGCACTCGAGCTTGCTCCGTGCGAGTCAGCCAGTCAGTCAGTGAGATAGGTGTGCAGATAACACAAGGCTAGAAATCTCACCTAGCCCCCCCCCCAAAAAAATTCCCAAACTTTCAACACCTCCCCCAAACACCCCTGTTGTGCCTGTGCGTGAAAAAATACCGTTTAGCGTGCGTCTACTGTTTTACCATAGAGCGCTGCGAAAACGAGCTTGCAATTTATACCTAATTGGTGGCGCACTTCATTATAAACCTCTGAATAACTTTATCTCGCTATTTTGTGGCACACTCCGCCATTGGGCATGCAGAGCCTCGATCTGGCAACTTTACACAATATAAAGAGCCGGTTCAGTGATCTAACCCCGACACGGGAATCACTGAACCGGCTGTATTTATTGTGTAAAGTTGCCAGATCGAGGCTGTGCATGCCCATTATGACGGAAGTGTGAAAAGAGCGATATCAAAGTGCATTTTAACAGGCAGTTACTGGTTTTACACTCACAACAATAGTTCGTCCTAGGATAGAGTTGGGTCCCACGAGTGTCGCTACCTTGTCAGTAAACGTCTCCTCCACCATGCCGAAGTCGTCTACTTGGATGTTTCCCCAGTCTCCCATATGCCTGGATGAATTAACAGGAAGTACACAACACTCAAGGTTTTCATTGTTTATGGCATCACTATTGTCAATTTATGAAGCCCGGGAAGGGACAGGGTGGATTTTTGTTTTATTGTAATATGCTAATTCGTTCCTTCGAATTACTAACTCGTTCCCACGAATTGCTATTTCGTTCGCACGAAATACTAATTCGTTCGCACGAATTACCAACTCGTTCCCACGAATTACTAACGCGTTCCCGGATCCACGAGTTAGCAATTCGCTCCCACGAATTAGAAAAGCGTGGGGACGATTTAGCAATTCGTGCGAACGATTTAGCAATTCGTGGGAACGATTTAGCAATTCGTGGGAACGAATTAGCAATTCGTGGGAACGAAATAGCAATTCGTGCGAACGAGTTAGCAATTCGTGCGAACGAGTTAGCAATTCGTGGGAACGAGTTAGCAATTCGTGGGAACGAATTAGCAAATTACAAAAAACATTTCCACCCTGTCCCTTCCCGCGCTTCATATCAATTGGCATTTTCGTCATCCAACGGTTCTTCATAATAGGATCATTTGCTTTCATGCAGTTTGTTTATTTCCAATAATATTACCGCTCAAAATCCAAAAACGAATGTTCAAAACCTAATCTGTTAAACTTTTATAAAGCAGTAAAAAGCCACGCACAACCTTTTGATCATGAAACACGATTTCGTTTTTACAATTAATTTCCAACGATCAGTCAATTGATGATCGTGACTGATCGTTGCATAATATCACCAACATTTCGTGATTTCTTCTAAAGACGGAATAATTTCACAGGGTGTTTAGGACCAGAACGATCTTGAATTCAGGTAAGCTTTTTATAATAATTACTCAATAAGTCACTTTTGGGTTAAATTCAAATGATCCTATATGCCTTTAACGTTTGAAACCATGCCACCATCCCGTCTACCATCAACAAGATGCACATCACCATTACCATCTTATACCGTCACCACCATCACCAACACCACCACCTTAAATCTCGTTATCATTTTCTTTCATACACATCAACAGAAGCAGCAAGAGCAAGGGGGGGGAGGTTTCTCCTGGCCTCCCTCGAGAAATAAAACCACGTCGGAAATTTTTGGACTGCTTGCAAATTTTCCGGACATTTTGCGTATTGAAATTTCTGTGTCCGGGCCGTGCGCGTCCGGGCCCCTTTACGACAACGTTCACGTTCCGCCTCCGGTGCTCACGCATTTTCATTACTTCTCCCCCAAAACATTGAAATAACAGGTGGATCACATCCTAATTTGCGGTGTGCTCCCGACAGGACATCACAAAGATGAATTCCTTGCACGACATGATCCGACATCGCGCAGGAAAACTACAAATAAATTGTGATAGAATATCCCGACAAGGACAAACTCGCATGGGTGATTAAAAACAAAATTCCCCTCCAAAATAACTGGCAAGCAGGCAGTATCCCAGCGAAAACTGCAACATACCTATCTTTGTCGTAGGGGGCGCTGTGGTTGTTTCCTCCAGGGTTATAATGACTGCCAGCAGATCCACAACCGTGTCTCAAGTCGCCGTAAGTGTGAACGTGTAAAGCGTGTACGCTCTTCGGAGTCATAAACCCGTACAGGAAGACCTCGACGTCCATTGGGCCGCCAACTGCCTGAATATGAAATATAATGAAATTAAAAAGGTCACGATTTCATGATAGGGAAAAACTATACAGCAATGGTCGTTGGAAACAACCACCAGTATATATAGCTTTATCGTTTTTCTTGAGACATTAATGTAATGACCGAACATCAAACAAACAAACAAACAAACAAACAAACAAACCAAAACAAATCCTCAATCTCATTCTGGAAAGACAGCAATGGTTCTTGGAAACATGAGAAGAGGGAGAGCTGGCGAACGTTTTTTTTTTCTTGAGATAATGACTGGAAATTCAAAGGCACGCATTCGTCTGAAGATACGCAAAATGTAGTGCAAAAGATTGATTAATTATAAGTTACCATTGTCTGGGTCACAAGAGAAGCATATAATATCTATATAATTGCTAAGAACCCTCTTTGTTTACATCAGACGCAGCACCTGTTTTTTTTCCAGTAGCAATTAAATCCGTCAAATTATGAGCCAAAGCTGCTAACGGTCCAACCCTGCAAAAAATCCCATAGACACTAGTGCTACTATGCGCATACTTCAAAATTCTTTTAAAAATACTCAGAACTCTCACAGGTATTCAAGCTGCACAGACAAATGATGATCAATGTGTCATCTTTCATTTTCTTTCCATTTTTTAGTGGGTTGACCTTTGACTTTTCGAGATATTCTCACCCAAAGAAGACGACCCCTATTTTCCTATATTAGCCATCTTGAAAAACGATCCCTCCACAACATGGCAAAATAGCGCCACTTTCGAGCCAAATAGCATCTAAAATGCTCAGAATTGGAAGCCCCAAGTCCGGCCAGAGGTTCATCACCATATCTCTTCAATTCCCCAATTTTATGGCTCTCAAAACTCTCTAATATAGAATATTTTGAGGGTATAGCTTTTATTCATGTGCTCGGCGGACGGATTTTTGGCCTACTTACAGGCGTGCACCCCTAACGTCAGACTTTAGACTTGAGGACAAGTTGTTAGACACTCGTGTTTTGTCTGTCAGAGCGCCCTCAATATAGCTCGGCGCTATGTGTCGCGTTTGTCATTTGCTGGCCACGACAGAGCCAAGAGCATATTATTCAAGTCGGTAATTGGTATCGATCTACACGCATTTTGGGGCCGAGGATGCACAGAGCGTCTCCGCAAGTTAGTGTCATATATACGGCACGCTTACATGACTTCGACTGCATGTAGTATCTGTCCACGCTGCGGTGGGTGCGCGGTAGGCGAACTACACCCGGTCAATTACAAGCGACAATTCGTGTGTTTGAAGCAACGTTTGCCTTAGGATACATTCGTGACCTGCATCAAAATTATTTGTGTAATCCGAAATCCTTCGCGAAATTTCTTACATTCTACTTTTTTTGATGATCTTTCGAACTTTTTATGTCGCATTTTAGAGCCACAGAAAGGGGCACAGCGAAAGTACACCAGGCCTGTAACACTTGATGCAGGCAACCTCGTCCCCAGTGCTTACTTTATTTCCAACCTCATTTCCAATAGTAAGCCCTGGATAGGAAACTTTCTTCCTGTATCCTGATTCGATACCACAATTGGCTGGTAATGGATTTTTATCGTGTACTTGGTGTTGTTATTCACAACGTGCAGTATGTGTTTTCGCGATCATTCGTCCACGCCGTCTCGAAAATACTAATTTCCTTTCCAATTTGTTCATAATAATATAAAATTTGATACTGCATGTTATCTCGAAAAGAGCGTAACAGTTTAATTTAAAAAGAAAAATTGTGTTTTCGTAACTCACGCCGTGCTCGCGCTGCGACGAATTGATTCTGTTTTTACCCCCGACACGGCATACAAAAACAAACGCTAATGTAACGCACATACAGGCACCGGACTATTCCTCATTTGCATACGTGTTCAAAAATCTTGCACATGCAAATGATCCAATACCAGGGTGAGAGAGCAGATAGTGGTGGGCGCGTACTGCTCGACACCCTGGAGACGAGGTTGTTGATGCAGGTCTATCTTTAGTTGAGCTTGCCCAGGTCACAACATGTCTGTAATTCATTAAACTTTTCATTTTTCAATTCCACGCGGGGATGAAGGTTTTGATTCACATTGGAATCAGACACGCCCTCACGAGTTGGGAGAGGGCCAACTCGGTCTAAGACAAATATTTTGATCCCCTATATAAAGAAAGTGACATTAATTGAGCAGGCGTCGGGATGTGTCAAGCGGGGGAAGTGCATCGGGGTAAACGTCAATAGTAATGGCTCCCTAATGGCAGGCATAACAGTAACAGGTTGTTTCCGCCGGTACCGAATACATGTGTAGTACGCTCAAAGAATTTCAATTACTCTATAATTCCGGATCTGTCTTCGGTAAAGCCGATCGAGACACTTCAGTTTAATGAGATTTCCTGAGTACGTGCCTGTTGCCCGTTGTTTGTGTTCAAGAAAGAATGTTAAACACCCTGTACCTTTTTCGTTTCTGTATACTGATGACGTCACACTTTGTTTACGTGTGAGCCTTCCCATGGTGCTCCGTGGGCCCCGCTGGCTCCATAAAAAAGTGCACATGTAAACAAAGTGTGACGTCATCAGTACAGAGACTGATTGGCTTTCTCTTTCAAATTTGAGCACAGGTCTCAGCCATAGGCCTAATCAGTGACATTTTTAAGGGTCATGCGTGTAGTCCATTCACCAAATCCTCTGTAGCAGCATGCAGGAATAACTGATTTTGATATTACTAGTTTAGCATGGTACCCACCCTTTGCCTCATATCGATGTCTCCAACGATGGGCTCGTACGTGTCTGGGTCGTAGATGCCATTGGGAACCATCCTGCAGTGCGCATATACGTTACCATCTCCTGCAAGGAACACAGTAGGAATCCTCAAAGATGCATTTTAAAGTTTCACCTCGAAAAAAATACATGTTTTTTCAATTGCCATTTTCCAAGCAACTTAAAAGTTATTCACTTTTGAACGGGACTCGACCTTTTTTCCCAAGCGACATAAGGAAGCGGGATGTAAAGCCACACTTAATTTGAGTTTTCCCCAGAGTTTTCTGCCTCATTGTAATAAATGAGTTCCGTTTGGACTTTTGAAGGCCTGTCCCCATGTGAGACAACGGACTATTTCATGAGATATGTGCCCGATATTTTTGGAACAATTTTCAATATCCCAAAAAAGAACACATGCACATCCCACAATTTGATTCAAAGGCTAAAGCATCAGCTTTCCTTCTATACCTTCCAGGTTTAGATTAGGTGGTTCCGGTCCGTGTGTCCTGTGCAATTCCCCCAGTAACTGGTCCACATCCCTCCGCAGTATGTCAATCTGTGACTGCATACGGATCAACTGTGCCGAGAGAGGGAGCCTGTCGGCCGCATCTGATCGGAACAAAACGAGAAAGAACCGGATATCTAAAAGATATAGCTGAAAGTATTTACCATTACTGAATACTTCATCAACTTGAGGCAGGTACATAAGAGTCTGCTAAAAAATGATTATTTAACCATGTTGATGACTCTGTTTCTCCTTTAAAGTAAACGGCACTCTGGTCTTTCTGGTCCTTTTGCATAGGCGTAGCCAGCGGGAGGGGAGGGGGTAAGGGGGTATTTACCCTCTCCCCCCAATATTTTGTAAAGAGTGCCCTTTTCCATTAAAATGCCTTTTTTTCACCAGCGTTTACCCTCCCCTAATATTTTGTAAAGAGTGCCCTTTTTTATCAAGTGCCTTTTTCTGAACAAGTGCCCTTTTAAAAAAGAACTCGTGCCCTTTTTTGTGCCATCGGCCGTTCCGGGTGCCTTTTTCTTAATTTCACTCATGTATCGCCCTGAAAAAGCACCACTGTCCGTTACACTCTCAAAAAGATATGTAAAAAACTAATTAGGTAAAAATTGTTATGTAAAATAATACACAATTTCGGTAAAATTCGTCGGGAAAAAAGTACCTCGAAAACATGTAAATTGAAAAATACATATTGAATAAGTAAAGCAGTCAGTTTACCTTAATTATGTAAAAACGTACTGCATTTAGGTAAAACGTACTAAAAACAAAGTAAAAACGTACACGCAGTGACGCGATGCAGCTAGCACAGCACAGCATAAGTGAAGATGGAGTACACCGTGACGTCTGTAACAACGAGGGGATGTGCAGCAGCTAATTTCGGTCTTTAAAGGTAACAGTTTTTAAAGCTCTTGTGATTGTTATACCGTCCCCAAGCCCCAGAAATGTCTAGACACTTTGTACGATAAAACCCCCAGGATATTCTTAATATTAGTAGTGTTTAACTCGGCCACTGCGCGTATTATACATACAACTCGTACGTGAACCAACTCGTACGCCAGCCGACTCGTATGCCTGCCAAAATTAGCCAATTTAAAGAAATTGAACGATACACCGTTCCCAGTATCACTAACTGTGACCATTATAGACATATTTGCCTTGAAATCAAAATGCCGATCTGAATGAGGTTTTCCCAATTAACCTAAACCACTGCCAAAACATGGGATGTTATAAATCTGGTATCATTAGTGTGGAAGCTGTTCCTTCGTGTAATGTACGTACTATTCTGAGACTGCAAGACTACTGCAATAAGTCTTCATTGCATGCCTTGGAATGCTTCAATCGAAACTGACCTGACCCCCTGGAAGGGAGGCCTAGTGCCTCGATCGATCCAGTGGTCTTTACTAATTATGTGAAGATTTAGAGATGTGGGAATTCAAAGTTTAAAAAAAAAGTTTTCTGAAATCTTGCAAGAAAATCCTTCAAGATGGACGATTTTAAAGATGTATCACCATGCTATATTTACATTCACTGTATTTCTTTCACTTGTTGTCCTAGTAACAGTGAGACATGATGGCCAGTTAGACCACAAAGCCCCGGTGGCTGGACGCTGGACTGGACCGGAAGGCCGCAATGCATCAGCCCACGAACTTCTAAGGAAAACTAATTTTCCTAGCCCTACACCCCAGACCAAAGTGGAACAAACATCTTCAAATCCTTCATTATTAATAATCAAAGTTCTTTTTAATTTTCTTCCAGATAATCCGACCCCAAAAATGATAATGTTGCTGTAAGAACACCCCTTAAAGGCCCCGAATGCCACTTTCCCTATTTGTCGGTGATGATGCTCTTTCGCAGCACGCCCGCCCCGATCACTGCGGTGCACCCGAGACGAAACAAAGGTTCAGCAGATAATTAAAGTGAATTCCATTCGTAATTCAATTCAAGAATTCAGGTAATATTCGACGGAATTTGTCCTTGTCCCCATAAAGTAGTCATTATTAAAAAAGCAATTTCAGAACCGGGACCCCAAGTGACAGAGTCGGGGTACCGTTTCTCGAGATGAAGAAAGCTTCAATAGGAACATATACGGGCCTCCAACTTGCCTTTTTGGGGGGACTTGAGGCATTATGGTGGAATGTTGCACTGTTTGTAGCCTATATAGCCTCTCTGGAGTTAAAGAATGTTGGGAGCATTCATCGATATTTGACATTTTCATTTGAACACCACATCTATACTTTGCTTCTTTCTCAATTTTGAAAGACGACTAGACACACTGAGGATTTTGAGACTGTACTCAAGTATGTTGAGGATACTCTACTTTTGGTCATTCATCGTTGGCGTTTAACATTATGACCTGGTAGGGGTTTTGTATCCTTGTATAGACTTCTTTACAAACCCAAGTCCGATGTTTTTATGACTAATTTTATTTCGGTACTCGGCGTCTCCACAGTTACTGGGTGACTCAGGGTGACGGATTTGCGGTGACAACGAACTTGCCCCCAGACCGTGTCATTTTGACCTTCACGTAGATGAAGTTGACGATGTTTGGACTGCAAAACTAGCCGAATAGTGCGAGATATGGGGCACCCCGCCGACGAAATTAACTGGCATGTCATGCGAGGACACGTTTATATTGATTGGATTTTCGGCGTTTTATTATAAACTATTGGGGTAGGCCTAACAGTTTGTCGACTTAATAGTGAAAAACTAGTGGGCCGTAAACGCCAACTCCCTTTTTTATAACACAAACACCTCAATTTGTAAGAATAACTGGCGTCCTCTTTCTCATAATAGACCTTTTTTAAGCTGAGGTGTTGCCGACATTTTGACTCTTAAAATACCACATTTGGTTTCATTGCGTACACGCCCCAAAGTTAAGTCTGGTCTCGAGTCATCATAACATGCATCACACCATTGACAATCTCTAGTTTCCCTGCCACGAAATGACTGAGAATATTCTCCCCTGCATGGGGCGTCAATCTATCGCAGGCCAGCCTTTGCCGATATAGGACGGATCCAGAAAGCAGTTTTTAGGGGGGCTAACAAAATTGTGTTCAAATTTACAGCGTGGGGTTAATGTTCGGGACCCGCTTATTATAAGGGCCCCGGAAAATCCTTTGGATTCTAGATGCTCTGTTGTGCGATCTGAGGCAATTTGATGACCACTTTAACCAATTTATTTTCAGATGGTGGTGTATAGGCAGTGGCTGCCTTTTTTGCGACGTCACTTAAAAAAGGGAGGGGCGCTTGGCCCCCGTTGCCCCCAAGCGCGGATCCGGGGGGGGGGTGTAAAAAAACCCAGCTCTGTCAATTTTTTTTCATAGAAATTCCTTCAAAATATTGCGAAACCAGCCCCCCCCCCCCCCCCCGCTCTGACACCCCAAAAATAAAACTGGTAAGAATGTCCGCCTGTGCCCACAATACGGACAGAACCAGCTTGTTTAGGGGTATTTGTACACTATTCTGTAATATAGTGTTAATAATCGTCGGATTTGAAGAGCGCTCCCATTGAAATAATAGTACGACCCCGTCCCCCCCCCCCCCCCCCCCCCCCACCTATTGATTTTCGGAGGCCAATTGTCCAGAGAAAAAACCCTGTCTACATTTCACAATGTTTTGCTGATGAACCCCGCCCCCCTGCGAAAATTCTTGGATCTGCCCCTGCCCCCTGGATCCGCCGTTGCCCATTCATATTCCTGGATGAAGAGAGGCAAATAGGGGTGGAGTGTCTTCCCCAGGGAGGGAAGATCGTAGATTTGGTTTCAATTGCCCAAAATGGACACGGAAGGCTATTTTGTGTCCGTTACAATCTGGCTTCTTACTTTAAAATATCTGACACTCAGGGGCTTCCGTAATCAGCGATGGCGGAACACTTTGAAAGTTGGGGGGTGGGGGAAACCACCGGCCGACCAAAAAGCAGCCGGCCATTGAAAATTCGAAAAGCGGGAGGTGGGGTGGGGATGGGAGGGCGCACTTAAGTCTAATTTTCTCTTATGTTCTGTACACGAACCCTTTGAGAGAAAGGAATGAGTGCACTACAGCTTCGATATAAAAACAGTCGTTTTTACTACTCGTGTTCTTGTTTAAGCCACCCCAGTCCGTAGTCCTAACATAATAGGCTTTTACCTAGAAATGTGCACATGCACAGTTGAAATATGTCCAAAACTTATTGTTTTACTCAATCTGGCCTGGCAGTGACCACAGAGGGACTTCATAAAACGAGTGAACTGAACTCAATCCCCTGAAGTCAATCATGGTATTTTGGGAAAAAAAGTGGAATTTCAATTGAGTTTGTCAAGGTGATAGCGAACCTTGACGGCCAATTGCAGTGGAGCTGTCATCACCGAGACCCAAAAAGCAAAATATCTGGCAGCCAAATTGGCGTAAAGATTTCGCCACAATATAGATCAACAACAACGGGTGGTAGAATCCATCAACGGTGTCTGGCCTGTGATCAAAATTGCCCGAGGAGGTTTGGCACAATATACTTTATATTACAACGGACTCACATAATATGCAGTCGTGCTAGAGTTACTCTGTGCCGGGAAATTGACATGGGCACAATTGCTCAGTGTGACCATCAACCGCCGGGGCGCATGCGTGTTGCATCAAGGGGTAAACTCAGATCGGGTAGGTTGAGCATGGTCAAACGGCCCCATGCGCGTCAACCGATCCCCGCCTTTAATTTCAGCGTCTTCACTCAATTCGTCAGTTTGAGTTCACAGTTCACGGTGGATATAAATAGTGGAAAACCGGTGATAAAAGACGTTAAAATCTAATCGCTCAATAAACTGAGAGAAATGTGACAACAATTTCTGGCGCGAACATGTAAGAGGTCGCAAGTCAGACTAGGCATATAATAAAAACTTGGGCGGGAATTTGGCTCAAGTAAATGCGGCCGCCTCTATATCCAAACCGGCATTTTGAAAACATAGCAAGTGATTGGCATAAGTTAAATATAATACAAGGATACGATCGCTTGCGATGGTGAATAAATACCCCCCCCCCTCCTATTAACTGTCATCTAAAATCCTACATTTCAAATAGAAACGTTTACATATTTTTATGCAAAGAATTTAAATTTGAACACCAAACGAATCATCTTTACTTTGTTTTAGTGATACCCAAATTTTCTCTTCATTATGGTTTATTCAACTATAGACATAAGAATCAAATTTGTCATCAAAATTAATCAAATAATATTAGTGGTCATCATCAAAACCTAATTTTTTGAATATATATATTTTTAAAACAGCATAACCCTTAGTGATTAATATCAAACGGCTTAAGTGTGATAAGTCGGAAAATCCTCAAATGATTTCCATGTTATCTCCGTTAAATCCCAAACTCGATCCATATCTTAAAACTCCAGTTGTTACGTAACTCTTTCGAAAAGCTCCAAGATCAATACGACGAAAATAATATTGTAGGCCTACTGGTGTGTTTCGGAGCTTAATTGTGACATGCATTGCTTGGAACCAAAGTCCGACTAATGTTTTGGAATGGCGAATCGAAACTATGAATTTCGTGCTACAGAAGAGGGAAACGAAACGAGGCTCTGAAACTGTACCTAAAGTCGTCACACAATCTGATCACGGATCATCTTTACCGATGGCATAAAACGACGGGAACTGAGGCGCCGTTGGATTTTGTTTTCGACTGTTTTGGAATGCTACGGTAGGCCTAGGCATTATGCAAAGTTACATTTAAAGGCTATGTATGTGCTTTTCATACATTGTGTTTTCAGTGGCGTAACTGGGGGGGGGGGGAGACGGGGTGGGGCACGACGCCCCCCCCCCCCGGCGGATGTATGTCTCCCCGTGCCACCCCCCCACACACACACACACAATTGCCTCCAGTTCTCCCTTGAAAAATGTGTGACCCCACGTGCCTCCTCCCCAACTGTTACGCCACTGATGTTTCCAATCCGAGAAGAATGTTCCAACCCTAACTGTTGAAGTTTCAGCTCCGTATATACATGTATCACACTTTTTGAAAAAAAAACAGTGAAAAACTACAACAGTGAAAAACTACGCACAACCTTTTTATCACGAAACACGCTAATACTGTATAGCATTCTTTTTCCAAAAACAAGTCTATTGAATGATCGTTGGAAATCACCCACAATTTCTGATTCCTCCTAAAATGACAGCGAGTCAGATGGAATAATTTCACAGGGTGTTTTGTACCTGAACGATAAGTAAGCTTTTGATAATAATTCGGTAGGTTTCTTTTGGGATAAATGCAAATGATTCTATATATCTCTTTAACGCTCCGCCCTCATGATGGGTAAAAACACGTGTTCTTATTACTCAGAGTCGTCAGCCTACAGTAAGATGACATACATCGACCCCGGTAATGCTCCCTATTTACATCTGGCATGAATGATCCGTGACAAGATGAAAAAATGAGAGGTAATGCAATTACTTATAAACAATGTATTTTTCGAGCAACTTCCACATTTGATGTGGGTGACTCGTGAATGCGTCTTGCACGCACGGATCAGTTATGTAAACAAGACCGGGGCCTATGCCAAGGTTGAGAGCCACACATGGCGACTGAAAATCTCAATGCCCGACACGAAAGGGAACAAACGGCAAAACCAAGTATTGCCAATATTCGAAAACAAATCGCTATACTTACGAGTAAATCCGCACGAAAGTAATGCAATGACGAGTAGGTGTCTTGGTGCACTCATTCGAACGGCCATGCTGTGGTTTCTGCCTGTGTCTCGTACGTCTTGCTGCGGGGAAACTCGCACGTTGCACTGCCTCTCCCGGGCTGAGCTGCACTCACCCCCGGTCACAACTTGACTTCAAAACTCACAAATCACGCGCGTCACTGGTGCACGGTTAGGATCTCGGAATCAAGCTCTTTGTGGGTAGAAAACCAGCTTAGTAGGAGCTGGGTCACTCGATCTTTATCGTTACATTTATGTAACTGTTAGCTTTCTTCCGAGATCGTATCCGCTTATATCCTGTCATATGAAGATGTCCATACATCATACCGTGATGTCATGTTTGTTATGTTGTGACAGCAGTTTAAATTGAATTTCCTTCATTTACCGGAACTGACAGCGGCCCGCATGCACGTTATGTTCAGGTCCAGATTAGTATGAAGGAACTGTGCGTGCCAACGGAGTGAACGGACGGTATACTTTCATCATATTTAGCTTCGAAATGTTGCTTCCATGCATTTTGGTGCGTAAAAGGCATAGGGTCATTCGCATCTCCTGCATGTTGTTCGTTTCCAATATACACCACTGAAAATCCAGAAGAAAAAAGAAGAATGTTCAAAACCTAATTTGGTGAAGTTTCAGCTCAGTGGAGACGGTTTTCGAGGAAACGGAGAATATCCACACACAGCCTTTTGATAACGAAACACGGTTTTGTCAGTGGCTGCCTTTATTAGTTCCAAAAATCAGTCAATTGACTGATCGTTGGAAAGTCACGTTTCTTGATTTCTTCTAAATGACAGCAAGCCAGACGAAAATAACTTCACGGTTATTATACGATCTTCAAGCTTTGTGATAATTCGGTAGTTACTTTGGGGGTAAATGCAAATGATGCCTTTAATATTCTTACTGTGTAAATCAAAATTTATAAAAAGCTTTTCAATCCTGAAGGAACGATAAATGCATGCGAAATAATCACTGCGAGGTAACTTTGATTTCAACGATTACTCGAAACTTAGAAAATAATCACTTTCCATATATAAAATTCTCAGTGGCTGGGATGTCGTCGCCGGCCAAATACTGCTTACATCATTGCCGGATTTAAGAGTGAAAGATTGTGTCAAATTTCACAATTTTTCACTAGGTTTGATTATAAAAATGCCTCATTTGATCAGCACGACTTTCTAGTGAATGAAAAAAAGCTTATGATGTCAAAACAAAAATTGTATATTGTAGAGAGCCTTTATGCTTTGCATTCAGCAATTTCAGGAGGAGACTTGTGGCCAGGCTGCATTGTGTAGATGAACGTCAAGGTCAAAATATCGATTTTCTTGAAGAGCTTGTCTTTGTCAGGATAAAAGTGATCACGTGACACACAACCTTCCTTTTGTAAAAACACAATAACGAAGCCTTTAAAAGACGAAATCGAATTTCAAGAACTGAGTGGCGTGTTTTATAGAGTACGGAAATACATATAATTCTTTCACTCAAATTGTCTGAGGGGAAACACATACAAATGAGCGAGATTTCATTTCAAGGTCTCGTGGAACGGCAGTCTCTCTGTAGTTTTCTGCATATTATTTAGACTGACAGCAAAATAATTATAAGTAGAGTATATCCTAAATGTAATGTCAAATGCATTATCAATTCGAGATTTTTTTTTAAATTTTGTTTTTACATTGTCCAAAAATGCCCGTCATTGTTTTGTCAGATATCGTTTTCTTTTTCGAGAGTTGGGGAATATATTGGTTGAATAAATTATATACCACGGAACCTCCTATGTTTTGAAATACATTTAGATTTTAAAATAAATGTTAAAGACTTTAATGATCGCCCGGTCTGATTTCAGAGAATTGTGAATGTCAATATACATTTGCCTATTAATCGAAACCCATTTTTACCCATTTGGCCAATATATTTCACTTATTTTTCGAAATTAACCCAGATTTAAAACGCAGGTACTTCAGAGCAGACATTACTAAATGCAGCAATTTGGAATCTGTAAAAATGCAATGATTGTTATACGCATCAAAATTGTTCTCTATCCGAGACCCTGCGTGGCGGAAAGTTTCCCTACCGGATTTCCAGTCCACATGTTTCTGTATATTGAATATGTACTTTAAAAAAGTGACAATACCGTGAAATCTCAGCGAGTCAAACTCTTACAACTCAAACCAATAAGTTAAACAACCAATTGCCTTAAGTATACAACAATGATATACAACCCTGCTTAACTCAAATTTTTGAACCTGTTCCCTTGAGGGTTGACTTATCAAGAATCAGTCACTGGAAAACTTGGGTTTCTAAAAAGGTTTGGCAACATTTATGGAAATTTCTGAAACGGTAGTTGTGCTTACTCGGAAGTCTTTGGGATTTGGGAAAATGAAAATGGACCAAAAATCGGATCAGTTGTTTGTAATTAAATCAATAAAGCCCCCACACTTACTTCCCTCAGAAACACTATAAAAACGGTGCGTAGAAATTAAACACTTTTTTGTATCCGCGTTTTTTTTCATGTTTTGGTCATAGTAATGTTTAGATTTTCCATTTGCGGAATCAGGAATAACTTAAATCAGGAAAGACTTGAACCCAAAAGTCATTTTTATTTAAACTTATAATAATAATACTTGATGGTACCAATAGGCCTCTGTACCATGTCTTAACTTGTCACCGACATCCATTAATGTAAGTTATGTCGAATATTAATTAAAACGTGAAAAATAGTGTGTAGGGACCTACAATTACATGTAGGTGTTGAAATGTTTTACAACTCGAAACACAAGTTAAACTGTTATCGGATTATTTACGAGTATATAGATCCTATACGAATTTGAAAGTGTAACTGAGTATTCCAACCCGTGTGCAGTGAAAACAAATATGTACAAACATGGCTCCAAATTGTTTTCGTCTTTTGTTGCCCGAACCCCACCATCCCTTTCCCCAGAGGGCCCAGACGCTCTGGTTTCACAGCTGTTGAAATCTTAGTAGTTGTCTAAGGCCACTCAACAATCCTCCCGACCCGTTTTCTTTCTTTGCTCACAGGATGTATTCCCTCGTTCTTTTTGTCCTCCCCTTACCTACGTAAACACTACCGGCTGGAGCAACACAGCCGAAGAGCCAACCAAGAAAACTTTGGGACAACATTCCTGTGTTTATACAGGCCTGTGTGAACGGAGATCGGTAGCATTGGCTTAGGAAGAAACGGAGACTTGTAAAGCTATTGGAGGGAGGGATTTATTGTGTACACACAGCAGGTAACTCTGGAAACAAAACCGATGATATTTCACCACGGGCTGGAAAAATGAAACTTCAAGCAAGGACATGTATGTTGGATATATAGCGTATGATGCTGGGTAGATTTCTTTTGGTTGTGATGTGTGTGTTGTAGGCCCTAAAAGTGAATCTTTGGGTCGGAGTGTGAAAGCAACGGACAGAGACCATGGCTTCTCTAACGGTACCTGAAGTCGCAAGCAACCTCAAGCAACAGCATCCGAACAGCAGCCTGGCGTCCACCGACTCGGGTCTGGACCTGGAGAGATTCCAGCCGGGGTCCCGCCGAAACAGCATGCTGGCCTCCTTGCGGCTCCTGGCCGCCAACAGCACGGTGTCCGAGCGGTTCGAATCCCGTCGCCGAGGTAGCCTAGATGCAACCCGTCGCCGGAGGAGCGACCCAATACCTGGGATTAACGAGGCTGAAGGGCTAGGGACCGCTCATCATCAACATCAGCGTGCACGGAGGGGCAGCCTCTCGGTCTTAGACGCAGGAGACGCGGCTACGTTCGAGAAAAGAACCCGCAAGAGGAAAAACCTCTCGGTACCGGACATTCTTGAGGAGAGGACCGAGGAGTCTGCCATGCAGACCTCCCTGGGCATACGGAACGCAAGACGAGCTTCATCTCATAGTGGACGGGCCGGGTCGATTCCTGACGGGGGGTCTCGAGGTTCTCAAACCCATCATGCAGGTTTGGAGACCAAGGGCGGCTTCCTAGCCGCTGGCAACTTGACCAGTACGTTCAGGACTCGACTCCAACAAGCTAGGAAAATTCGAAGGGTAGGTTTACATTGAAACTTTACTTTTACTTAGTCTTTTAATAATTGAAGCTTGCCTTAATACATGTAGATTGAAAAGTTCTAGATTAATCAATGTGAGTCTTAGTTTAGCCGATTTGGATTCTCAAAAAGACCGGGAAGCATATATCTAGCTATGACTTCTAATATTTGTCGAATGGTATTTATGTTCCATATTAATATTTTTGATAGTATTCTAAGGGGCCGAAGCCCGCCGTCAGTCACGACAAATTTGATTTCAAATTTAAAAAAATCATTAATTTTGTTCCTTACTTTGTCTCAGTGTAGAAGGTTTACTTTGTTAAAGTCTCGAAATTTAATTTAAGAACCTTATAACGTGTGGTACACTGCTTGAGGTCTTGTGACAAGTTAATTGGGCCTCACTGCCAAGGGCGGATCCGGGGGCCAACGGGGCCAACGGGGGCCATGCCCCCCCCCAAAAAAAGAACCCAATTTTGTTTTTGTAAGTGCCGTCGCAATAAAGGCAGGCACTGCTTACAGCATCGCCTTTCCCTAAAACAAATTGGTTAAAGTGATCAGAAATTGCCTCAGATCGCACCACAGAGCATCTAGGATCGAATTCCCCCCCCCCCCCAATCCGCCCTAGCTCACTGCACAATGCTGGGCTAAATTTTCACGGCGCGAGCGATTTTTGCCTGCTTAAGGTAGAAGATCCAGGAACAAAATAGATTGTATTTATCATCATACTGATATTTGCTTTGTTCTTTGATTTAACAGAAGAAGCTACTCCTGAAGTTCAAAAGTTATTCTCGTCTGGTCATCTTTATAATCAGGCTGTGCAAAAATCACTTTTTGAGGTAACCGTCAGAGTTAATATGATCATACAATTCAAAATGTTATTTCCCTCAAACAGAGATCTGCAAAAAGACGGTGGAAAACGCCTCTTCACACCTCAGGCTTCGCGATACGAAATTCAAATACATTTAACATTTCTTTCTAATGTTAAACTTACTCGACATACAACTGTAGTTTCTCACAAATTCGCTGTACCAAAATGATTTGAATATTTCAGCCGCAAATTGCTGAAATTTTGTTGTTGAAATAATGCAGACAAAAACACATCCACTAAAACTGAAACTGTAAGCTTTTACATAATTTGGCTCTTTTTTTCTTCAAGTGTCGACGACAGCGGGCGCTCTCATCGAGGCCAATACTTCAAGGATGGCGAGGAGGATGAATTGCTGTTTGACGTCAGGTACTTCAGGGCCCACAAAGAGGTAAACCTCCTCCATGAAAGCAAACAAGGACTCGTTCATTGTGTTAACAGCTGGTCCCCGACCTGTTTGGTCGAAGGAATATAGGTTGTCGACTTGTCGTCCCAAGTCCAATTTGGGGGACATGGGGAGGCTTGAGTGAACGATAGAGCAATATTAAAAAAAAGGCGTGTTTTGGGATACATTTTACACGCAAAAGTGGATGTGCATGAGGATAAAAATTAAAAAAAATCTTAAGAAGAGGCTTCTTATTTAATGAAAGCTGGTAGTTCGTACATGTCATGCGAACGAAAGAACAGTGCCCCATCACCTGGGGGAACTTTGGTATTTTTTTTTCCTCTAATATTGCATGTCCAGAACATGAAAAGCTGATGTTTTTCCTCGTATACTTTTTTTTGCACCTGGACCCTAATCTGTAACCTAGTAACAAAAGTATTCAATTCGTTTCCTTGAATAAGATTTAAAAGTTCCTAGTGTGCTACCAAATGTTATCCGTATATTGGGGCAACTTTGGCAGGATATCAGGATTGAATGAAATTGATATTATTCACAAAACCTAACAATAATGGTATTGATGACCTTTGACGAACGGAAATATTCTCTTTAGGAAATGACTTGTATAAATCAATGTTATCGTAACATTGTCAGTAGTAATGCGCAATAATTATGCAGTACGGGGTAAGGCGTCTGCCAGAGTTACCCAGGGTGTGCCAAACTTACCCCGTTGTTCGGTAGATTTGCCGGGGGGGGGGTCATCTGCGCTACCAGCTAGCCCTGTGATTTTTCTTTAATTGATGTCCCATGCTGTATATTTTCCGCTCTGCAGGGTAACAAAAATGCCTGTCTTTTACATAATGCGCCACAATATTGTTCGAAAATCATCATCACATGTTAATGACGTGTCAAGATTTCATTCCTTTATTATACGAGGACGCAATCTGCATGAACGAACCAAAGTGATGCTAGCTCACAAAGATGACACCATTATGATATGACTTCTTCCTTTTGTGGTTCCAGGCTGGCATCTCCACAGAATGCAAAAAGATCTTGAGTTTACCGTCACATCAAAGGACGGACAAAGAGGAGTATCGGGTGAGAAAGATGACTTTTAACGATTTCGGAGGGGAATTGCGACCCCTTGGCCTATATAGACATTCGTCATCTTTTATAATAATTTCTGTAAACCCTTAATGCCATGATGTATCGTTTCAGTGTCGTGAATTTACCCTGCGTCTTCTCATGTTAGCAGACCTCAAGTTTCGTTGATGTCGAAAGATATTTCGTCGTGTTTAAAGCTTTATGTATAAATCGTTTTCCTTTTTGGTTGCGATGTATGATACAATCAATTAACTGATCCACAAAATTCAAAATCAGTTTTTCACCGATTTTCAAAGCCCGAAGTGGCCTGGCAAAACTTTCCGTCTGTTCCCCAAAATTAAAAGCCACGCACAGCCGTTTGGATATTTCCTTCAAAATGTAAACGATAAAATTCCTACTCTTGCCGATTTAGATGTCACAAAATGGAACAATTGCGTCATTATATGTATTTATACGTGCTCTGCTCGTCTCGCGAAATACTCCGACTTCCACCGATCGTGACGTCATAAAAATGGCTGACTCTCAATGCGGATGTATTTTACAGGCTCTGATCGCCTTGCGAAATTTCCCGACGTTTGCCGAGTTCCCTCTCGGGATGCAGCAGGAGATCGTCAAGGTTGGTTGGTACGAGAAGTACCAGGCACAGAGAGTCATCCTCAGGCAGGGACACCGGCCTCTCAACTTCTACTTCATCATGACTGGGTCAGGTATGAACAAGATTTGATGTTGATGAAGAAATTTAACATCCAAGATCTCTCCTTGGTACTAGTTAATCGACATCAAAAGAAAAATCACGTAGTTTCTACAAGATTAGAAATATGCAAAAATTAGTCAACGCTAAACCTCTTAATTTGTTCTTGATTAGAAAGAACGGAAAGATTTGTCGACCATAGTATGATTGAATGTCGAACCCGGTCCCCCCCCCAAAAAAAATAGCCATTTCATGTTCCTTGATATTATTGTCTGATGTCAAAAGTGAGATGTCTAGTCGACCAAGGCTGTATACATGTACTCTGTTATTTTCAACGTCATCAAAACCACATTGTATAACTTATAACGAGAATATTTTCGTTAACAGGTATAAATGTTGTCAGTTAATATTGGCAAGCGGTTGAGACAGATTACCTATTTCTATTGGTCGAGAGCCCGTCGTGTGGTTGGTTTTAAACCGCCGGTTAAACACCGCTGCGTTCTGTGCCACATCGATCGCGCCAATTTCCATATAAGGAGATTTTTAGCACTACGCGCGCGAGGCACATACCATAGACATGGCCAGAGGGGTGTTCCACAAAGCATGAAGTAGTGAGCAAAATCGTTGGACACTTGTGAATTTTTGACTTGTTTGGACTTTTTGGCCGAACTAAATATGTGCTTGGCCGGTATTAAACAAATCTCCTTCGGCTCGGGCCATTATCAGCGTCCAGGCCCCTAGCCGGTTTTTAACGTACTTGTTTAAAACCTGCCAAGCACATTTTATTTCCTTAGTAATCCAGAAAAACCAACACATGTGGTACACACGGAAGTTCGTGAAAATGGCGAGAACGCATCATGGCAAGGATGTCAGTGTTCCAGTTGTGTTAGTTTAATCATTATTGAAGGAAAAGTGCCCACTCGAAAACAATACACGGAATCATTAGTCGGTGTTTACATTCCTCTTACCCATCTCCGAAAAAAAAATGATGTGCATGCAGACACTTCAACGGCTGTAGACTTTCCGATCGACGGATCGGAAGAAACCCCGCCGCAACGTCATACCCTTTTCCGCCGAAAAGACGGTTCACTATAGTGTGAAACAGATACAAATTCGTACAGGCAAACGTAAATCTTTAATTTCTGCGTGAACCGGTGTCATATGAGATTCGGACTCCTATGAAATCCGGTCACTTAATTTACCTTATATGGATTCTAATCCTCACAGGTGACATGTCACTGTTCTAATGGCCATCACTGATAGACATGCGCAATTTAACCAAAGAATCTGCTTTTAATGGAGTCCAAATTCCACACTATACACTCAGTAGTGTAGCCGGGGGGTACGGAGTGGCGGAGTGCAACGGGCTAGATATTTAAAAGCAAAATCGGGACGCTAATAGAAGCAAAATTGGGATGGCGAAAATGGATTACAAAAATGCAAAATCTGGAACGGGACAGCACGGGCGTCGCTGGACAGGGGGCGTGAGGGTTGTGACACCCCTTAATCTTGCCTTAATTTTTTTGTCGTAAAAATCGGCAAAACAAATGTGCCTGGATGAAGAGCGACACCTATCTTACGGAGGCCGTGTGACCGGGAAAAATATCCAGTCTACCTTTTGGCACTGATGCTCTGTCGGCAATTATAATCCACCCATTCTAAGTGGTCTAGCAACGTTCCTGTCTGGACGCGAATTCTATTTTGCACCTGTTTACGCACCTGATTCTACACCAAAATGGATGCAATGCAAACAAACACAAATGAAGACAGTGTATACAAGACCGGATTCTTTGGTTGTCCAAATGGTACAAAGCTTTAATAATCCACTGCGCACGGTGCTTTATATTCATTTTGGTACTTCACGTGAAGTTTGACCACCAACTCTTGACAACCGTACCACGAAGTTATGTCGTCTGACCTTTTCTAAAGGATCTCGATTTCTGTCTACAAAGAATGAGCGCTTCATTTTAACATTTCCGTGGCAACCAATTAAATGGTAACCCTAATTAATCAGCTTGTAGTGGAGACGCACGTTACAAGTTAAGAATCAACTGGTAAAGATCAAGCAATTGCTAAGGATCTGAGTGCTCCACCTGATCAATCAACTTCGCAGATGAGTTGAAATTGCGGCCTCGCGCCATTTCGCTCGCACATGAGTTGAAATTGCGGCCTCGCGCCATTTCGCTCGCAGGCGAGTTGAAATTGCGGCCTCGCGCCATTTCGCTCGCAGGGGAGTTGAAATTGCGGCCTCGCGTTATTTCGCCGTTGTCTCCGCGTGGCTGAAGTTCGTATCCAACGACCCACGCAAAAAAAAAACCCCATCTCGACATGTATGATGTAAGGGACATATCTTCTTGTTAGCTCCGTATTCACATAAATTCACACGGTTTAAATGGACGTGACCTAGAAATACAACTGCTGGCTTGTTTTCGTTACCCGCTGCATAAACATCGTGGATGCAGTCGGTGCAGTGAAATGCAAACAGAGAAAGGCTTTTACATACTTTCGATATTGTTCAACGGATCATCAGTAATGATGCGCACCAGCGTTCCAAACCAAACGAGGCGAAACCCCATACGGAATCTGTATGAGCTGTATTGGTTTTGTAGCTTGATTTCTTAGACTATTGCTATATCGTTCCACATTGTGAGATGCGTACTTCGTACATGATTGAGACCTAAACAAGCCAGCAAGTACATGCAGCAACTGAGGGAATTTCACTGCTGGCAATAACATGGACGGTTCAAGATGGACGGTTCAAGTCTCCCCGTCGCCATTTTGGTTCTCCGGACATGTTTCATCGGCATCGTTGCCACACTCATCCTGGCCGGCAACGCCCTGTCAATCACCGTGACCCGCCTGATGACCGAGCTGTCTAGCAGCACACGGATCTTGATGACATCCCTGGCGGTAGTGGACCTGCTCACCGGACTGACCGTCATACCGAGCATCGTCGCGTCGGCACAGGACGCCTGGACGTTCGGCTACCCGGCCTGCGTGGCGCAAGGCTTTGTGGCCAACTGGCTGTACTTAGAATCAGCCATGCTCGTCATCCTCCTGAACGTTCAGCGGTACATTGCCATAGTCAGGCCGCTTAGATACCGCACTCTATGCACTCCTAGGAGGGTGGTCTTTACTATAGTGATTCCGACTGTGCTCATCGTTTCCGTCAGCTTGATCGAAGAGTTCGTTCTCGGGACCACCATTGCTTACTCCAGTGAAAGGGTCTTCTGTACGTTAGACCTCACCAAGCTGAACCTTCCCCTTCAGATTGTAGTGTTTTTCCTCTGCTGTTTGATACCTCTGGCTGCGATGGTGTTCATGCAGGTGCGGATCGGTATCATCATGCGACGGCAGGCACGAGCGGTTTGCCCCGACGACATGTCAGGGAGATGGGTGGGCCGAATCCGATTCAACCCTCGCAAGACCGAGAGGCGAACCACTCGGCTGTTCCTGGTCGTGACACTTGTCTTTACCCTCGTCTGGGTGCCCTCCCAGATCTTCTACGTGTACGCCGCTTTTGCCACCGCCACGCCCATCCCGGGATGGGTGCAGTTTGCCATCACGTGGCTGTGCATGTGTAACAGTTTCGTCAATGTATTCGTCTACTGTTTGTTTCTCGGCAACTTTCGTCGTGTTGCGGCCAGGTCTGCGCGGTGCGGGCAATGCGGCTCCCGCGTCGCAGCTACTCCTTCAGCGTCAGAAATCTCACACAGATAGAAACTACACAGCTCTAAGAACAGTGAAATTCGCAACATCGTATTTACTTCACTCGTCTAATATCAAATATTACATTGGAAAAGCGACAACCGGTCTTGAAAATGATAACATGTTGATGTTGAGCAAAGTGCCACCGCAGATCCCCGGGACGAACGCAGTTCAGTGGCATGTCGATAATTAACACGGATTTTAAAATTGTCCGGAGCAACAAAACAGCCACCAAAAACACAAGGATGCTCTGTAACAACAATCTTTCCCGGCATTGCTCATTGTAATGCATGTGGGACATTTAAGTGTGCCACTTAGTGGAATTTCTATATATTGTCTTTACTTTCCAGCGTTCTAATATTTAACTGCATGCCCGGTTAACATTCTACAAACTTAAGCGTGATGGGTGTTTTGACGAATAGCAGATGAAGCCGTCAAACCAAGCCAGACGTGTGTCTTACTAATTGCCTTTTTTATCATGTAAACTGTACTGACAAAACTTGGACAATGTCAACGCTGTGTGCTAAAATGAATATTTTTTTCTCTTCTCCAGAATCGTAAGCTTTATGATCTTTTATATTGATTGATTAAAAATTTGGCTTCTTGTTTTGACACCACTGACACAAAAATGGTACGCTGACGTGTCGAATGTATTTACACTGTTAAGAGTAAGAGCTCCTTGCGATGTAAATATTGGTTTTTTTTTTTTTTACTTTCTCCAATATGTATCATATCACAATTCCAGAAAAAAAAAAAGAAATTTCTTTGCTGTAACCACTTTATGTGGTACCTCGAATTGGCTTTTACTAGAGTCACCAAAATGGTAAAGCGGCCTGCTCAGTTTAAAGGCAATATAGATGCATCCCAAAAGTAATACCGAATTATCATCAATAAGTTTACTTGGATTAAAGATCGTACTGGTAAAACACCACGTGAAATTATTCCGTCTGGCTTGCTGTCAATTAGAAAAACTCAAGAAATGTATAGTTGATTTCCAAAGATCATTCAGTTGATTTTGTTTTTTGTTTTTTTAACTAAATAAAAAGTGCTATGGACGAAATCGTGTTTCGTGACTCAAAAAGTTCAGTGCATTTTTTTGCACTGTTTTCTCGAAAAGTGTAATTTCTACTGAACTGAAAGTTCAACAGGTTAGGTGTGAACATTCTTTAGATTGTGGTGTTATGATTGGAAAATAACAAAATGTATGAAAACTACCATTTATGCCTTTAAGCGTCCTTTTTGATGAAACCCTCTCAGAAAAAAGAATCTGAACGTAATAAATTAAGAACTTAACAACGAAGCAACATTTCACCAAGTTGCATGCTTTCAAGTGATGTAAGTCTCTCTGAGGCTTAATAAAGTCAATATCTTGTTTTACTCGGAGACTCTGCAGATGCAGCATCAATCGAACAACGCTCAAACGTTTCCAGCGTTCGCGATTTTAGTGCATAATAATACGATGGGGAAACGTTCACGAACGCTTAATTAATTGACAACGTTCGTGTGAGTGGAAGTCACCTCGTAAACTGAACGATTTGCACTTTCTACTTATTACTGTTATTTTTTCGACCATTGACTTTGTTGACACATCTGGCTTGAAATTCATCATGAGTAGTCACACACGGGTGTGTATTATCACTCATTCCCCATTATCAATTAATTCAATTCACGTTTTCATTTGTTTAAAGTGTAACAGGTGTATACTCAAGCAAATGCATCACTAGTTAATGTTTAACTCGTATTTCGTAAATCACCTCGACTGAAGAATCAACAGGCAGTTTCTTTGAAGCTTATTTTTTTTTTTAAATGAAACACAGCCCTATCTTCTTTTGTTTCCTTCTCTTTTTTTGCTAAGTAATGGTGCGAGTTCTGGAGGAAGGAAGTGACAACCCACGGACGGTGGTGTATCTCAATCGAGGAGAGACCTTTGGAGTAAGTTGAAACCGATTAATCTTTAAAGGGAATGTACAACATTTTGCTTTTGCAGCAGTTTTCAGAAATAAATGAATTTCGAGGATAAGTATGTTATAGCAAATATTGTTCAACTGACTTGTTTCACGTTTTGGGCTTGTAGATGCTGGAAAAAACATAGAAAACCAATCATGTTCTTGTAGTCTGGTTCCCTGACCCCACTTAAGATGAAACAGAGCAATGTGTAGACTTTAGGCAATTGAAAGGTCAAAGAATCAGTCTAGCAGGCTTGTACCCCTTCACAGGTGTGTAATCAATTGCAAAGAAAATGCGGAATAGCTAAATATGAAAAACTAGGAACAATTTTTGAAAAAAGCCAGTTTTTTCCAACTCTGGTCGGCCGACCAGCATTGGAAAAATACACTTTTTCTTGAAAATGTCAGCACATCAGGAGCCACGATTTTACAGGATGCTTTAGACTGTCATTCCCTAACGATTCAGTATGGTATTTCGATATACATTGTAATTTGATCATTTCGTTTTTTGATGTTTGCAAATGTTGTATCTCCCCTTTAACATTTTCACATTTACTGAAGTAAATGCAATCATTTTAACCCCAAGATTGTCCCGGTGAAATTCACTCTGCAAAATGTTGTCATCGGCATTATCTGCGACAAGGTTTTTGACGGTGGTCGTACCCATCACTGTATCCAACGGCTCTGGTGGCTGATGATCTTTTTAACAAAATTCTCTGAAGGAACCATAGATCTCCATTACGTAGACATTTTTTTTTCGTTTGTAAATATTGAGCGCCATTTTGCATAAGTTGCCAAAAGGGCCTAAATTTAAAGGGCCCTTGCAATGTAATTTTTGTTAAAGGCAATGTACTCATTGGATTTTGCTGTAATTTCCAGAAATGAACTATTTGAGGGGTTAGTATAAGAGATCAAATATTGTTACACTGCCAAGTTTGAAGTTTTGTGTTCGAAAATGCTGGAAAAACCAAGAATAACAAAAATTGTCAATTAGTCTGGTTCCCCGACTCCACTAAAGATGAAATGAATCAATAGATGCCGGAAAATTGTAAGGTAAGGAAACCAGTCTAGCTGGCCTGCACCCGTTCATGAACATGTAATAAATAGCAAACAAAATTTGGACTGAAAAAATGGTAAATTTGGAGCAGTAGTTGAGAAATAGTTAGGTTTTTCCAACGGTGGTCGGCCGACCACCGATGGAAATTTATACAAAATACCACTTTTCTTTAAAATGACTTCACACCAGGTGCCATAATTTTACAGGATGTTTTAGACTTTCATTTACCAACATCCTAGTAAGCTATTTCGTAAAAATTTGGTAGTTTTGTTTTCCAATGTTTGGCAAATGTTGTATATTCCCTTTAATGCTATAACTATGTACTTGAAAATGCACCTTTTTTTACATTTAGCTTCATTTCCAATTTTCGTTTTACCATATTGAAGGGTAATTTTGGTGCCTTTTTGTGGTTTACGCTAATACAGTTTCCATATTCATGAGCAAAACTGTGATGTCATTCCGGGCAGAAACCTCACTGTTACAGATATTTGAGCACAAAAAAGTTGCTAGCATTTTTGATATTTTGGCTATAAATTTTCTTTTCTTAGATGTTTCGTTGTTGTGTAAATACATTACATAAACATCATATATTTTAAGTGGAGTGGAAAGTCGCAAAAAAATGTGTTCCTAAGAAATATTCATCGCATGGACCCTTTAAGCCGTGGTTGGAAACACACTTTTCAAAAACTTGCATAATTCTTACTTAACACCCTCATGACGTTACAAAGGGGCATTTTTATTAAGTCTTTGGTAGCGTTTGTTGATTATTTTGTTTTTCCAGCAATTCAATGATAATGTTTGGAAACATTCATAGGCCTACGTATCATTTATTTTTTGCAACGTTAAATCTTCCATCGGCCCATTAGTTGCCAACCACGGGTTGACAAAGTGGTGGTGGGTATACGAGCGAAAAACACACAGGGAAACTTGGATGGTGAGGAAGACTAAAATGTCTAAAGGAAGCACAAGAATGTCAGGTACTATTGTATTGATATTGCAATCGCCATGACATGGGTTTCATCACTGTCTCTCATTCCACAGGAGTTAGGCTTGGTGAATCGGGAGCGGAGAAAATCAACAGTCATTAGCAGAGAGCGGGTGGAACTGTTGTGCATCGGGGACGCCGTAAGTCAACCCATATTTTTGTCATGTACAATCACTCACAAGACTAATGAATTATTGAAGTCATTGCCGCCTTTAAACGGGTCTGTTTACTCATGGTCGGATCCAGTTGGATAAGTATGCAGACAATCGAAAAATAGGGCCAGAGCCCTCATTTTTAAATGTCTGCCTCCATTTGTTTCTTTGAGTGCATAATCGTAGCGAGAAAAGCGGTCGCTTCCTATTTGGTTAATAGTGACAGACAATTGAATTTGCAATCCAAAGTAACCATTTCGGAAAAGGATAGTGGCGGATTTCCCAGGGGGAGGGTAGGCGGTTTAGCCCCCCCCCCCCCCCCCCGCAGCTCAATAGAATCATCGTTGTGTATCTGTAATGTGATAACTGGTTGTAAAGGGGTCCGGGGAGCAAAAATGGGTACTATTTCTGAAAAGATGACTCCAATTTGTTTCAAATACAAAAAAATGACAATCTTTCCCGGATGGGAAGGGGGAAGGTCCCCCCCCCCCAGTTGGATAAGTCACTGGGAGAACGTCTCTGGGAGAAATATCCGATGTTTTTAAGGTCGTATTAGAAACCCCGTTCTCGTGTTGAGTGAACATGCATGAGAACGGGGTTTCGAATGAACAGGAGTTTCACCCTCCACTTTATTTCAATATTTGGGGAGTTGACGAGGAACGTCAAGAACACCAATGGCGGACTAATTTAGGCCCCTACCACAACTTTCGTTAATCTTTTGGATAAACTTGAAAGCACTGACCCAATGCAGGAGCACTTTATATGATATAAAAAGTGTACGTAATCAGAGAAAGTGATTTTTCTTCAAAAAGCCTTGACGCAGTTGTTAGTACCAAGAAGACGTCGATCGAGACGTCGAAGGCAAATGACGTTCTGCGAATTCGCAAAGTTGAGCTAAGTTTAACTTCGCCAAGTTTTGCACACGAATATATCGTGACGTGATTTGGCTTTACATTTCCGAAAAGTTCGACCGGGGTCTCGCGTAAAATTTCCAGAGCTATATGGAGCATGCGGAGTCCAACCATTGCATCACGTGTGCGCCTTGATCCAACAACCCAGGAAGGGTGCACGGCGTCCTGAAGTCATTTTAAATGTTGCTGTCAGTCTATTGGTTGTCTGTGGTATGAAGTCATAAACACTACTTTAATACAGAAAGGGGAAATCCCCTCATCAACCAATTAAAGGACAATCTTCAAAAATCCAGAATTGTAAGTTGTTATCATCACACTTATATTAAACTAACGCACTTTGTTTTTTTACAAGTCTACTATTCGAAGATACAGGCAACTTGTCACAATCGTTTGAACCCGTTCGATCGTTTGTTTTTTCTGCAAGGAGAAAATCAGATGGCCGATTTTCGGCCGCCTGAATGAAATCTGTTAAGCAGGGAAACCAGAAATGTTATCTTATTTTTCCGCTGCTATAACAGAAGAAAAGCAGATGTTCACTTTTCGTCCGCCAGCATAAGGAGTTGACATGTAAAATATGCTTTTAAGGTATATCAGAAAAGCAGAGAGGTAGATTCAACCAAAGCATCCAATCTGCGTTTCTGGTATAGCAGAAAGCAGAGAGCTGAAAATCGAACCGTCGAAAAAGTTCAATCTGCCTTTTTGCTATTCTGACAACCAGAACGCAGATGTCCACTTTTCGTACTCCATATTCAGCCTTCGACAGTCTTGGGGCAAGATTGGATTTGGATCCCCCCCCCCATATACAACCAATCCCTGTCAAACACGGTCAAGCCGCTACGGCGCTATAGAGGTCGCTATCAACAAGATGAACCCAATCGCTAAGTTTTGGAAAGCTTGGCATGACTATCCAGGAAATATCGAGTAAACCTCATTCATGCATGCTGTATGCAGGCCTAATTGTGCACTCGTGGGATATCCTTCGACTCATTTCCTGGGCTCCGATGCCAAAATTCCCAAGACTGGACTTGATTCATCTTATTGATTGCAACCTCTAACGCCCCGGCGGCTTGACCGCGCCGGCCATGGACAACCTGCGTTTGCATTTGGGGAAAAATAGCAAAATTCAGTCTCGAACTAAGTCTACGGCTTCGACAATATATTAAAATTGCTATATATAGTCAGCAAAATCACCGTTGTCCACGTGTAAGTCTACAAGTGTAGTGTTTTTTTTCTCAACTAAGTCTACGGCTTCGACAATATCTTAAAATTGCTATATATAGGCCTAGTCAGCAAAATCACCGTTGTCCACGTGTAAGTCTACAAGTGTAGTGTTTTTTTTCTCTTCAAATAAAGCCGTCCACAGACAACAGGTTTGGCACATGAAATTTTAAACTACCACGCCTCAGAGACAAAATGTGCATTTGCAATCATTTTTTTCGTCACGTATGTGTAAAGATCAATATTTTAATGCCACTAAGTTGAATTTTTGCAACATGCTCAACAACTAGGTGAAAATTGCTGTCAAAGGTGGGTTTCCCTCTTTTTGCACCACCCTGCATGATTGTATAAGTCATAAATTTCATTTCAGGGTAACTGAACAGGTTAAAATATGACCAAGTTACTCAATACATTGAATGCAATGTGTAACGTTATTATACAATTATACACACACTTTCCTCGTACATGTTAATATTTCATGTGCGAAGTATACACGAATCAAAATGAACTATCAACTTCAGTAAGATATCTTCACTTTCGCAATTATCACAATCACTTCTACAACTTATCACAATTAAATTCTCCTAAACACGTGCCAGTCTATTTTTTGTGTGTTGTGCATAACATGCAAGACCTAATTCCTTATTCGTCATATTTATAATTAATCAAATTAACTGACAACATATATATAAATTACAAAGTATAGGTTTTCTCGGCCAAATTTCAATAAAAAAATCGTATATTTTTACACCCGACCCATTCAGTTTTATTTGAATTGGAAAGCTGCCTTACATCAGTATTCCATCGTCAAAAGAAATAATTCAATTTCATTGGTTAGCATTCTTTCGACAATAAGTTAATTTAATTCCCAACGGTTATTCAATTTGTTCAAATTTTATCGATTCCAGAAGAAAGAGGTTGATCGACAATTCAATTTCATCGATTAGCGAACATTTTTTTTCGCATGTGTGCTTTAAAAAAAATTTCTGTAATATGTGCTTTTTGATTCGTATTCTCCTTCACATTAAATTCCATATTCATTCTATAGAATTCATTCTCAAAAGAAACCCTAGTTTGATCGGAATTTTGAAAACTGCTTGAATATAAAAGCAATCAAATCTAGAAGAACAAAATGTTGAAGTTGGGCAGGGAAATCTATATTAAAATCAGTTTCTTTCTTTTGCTTTTTTGTCTGTTTTCTTCACGTGATTCTTTTTAATATTTAGTAGCTTTTAATCATGCATGTAATTCTATGTACATTGTAGTTTATATTTTTGTGCACGGTGCAGTTAATATGCATGTTCAATGTTTCGAAAGCCCGTCGTTAAGACCATATTGTTGTTGCTTTTGGTGGTTCCTATTAATACAGGTTTTCCCGTCCAATTTTAACTAATTATCACTAAAATTAGCTTCAATTTTAATCAATAATCACCCAAATTAGCTTCATAGTCATTCATTGTAGTGTGAATTTGAATGTTGTTTAAGATCATCGTTCAATTAAGTAAAGAAAGCATTCAATTTAGTTTCCCGAGCACGCGAACGGGAGAATGCGTCATTCAAATTTAAAAGTTCAAATTTAAATTATCAGGGAACAGCATTCAAATTCACCCAAGCCATGGGCCAAGAACACATGGTCAAGAATTCTTAAATACAGTACATGAATTCAAATACACCACTTACAACATTTTTTTAAAAATAATCACAGAAAAATTGAAAGAAAGATATCCATCTATAATTCGATAAAGATACATAATTAAAATACGAATAATGTTTTATTTGTAAGAATTTTGAGAAGTTGATATATTTATAGAAAAATGATGAAAGAAAATATGCCGAAGAAAATAAACGACACCTTGAAATGAAAAAAAAAAGATAAAGATTAAAAGTGCAGCTGTCCTAATGAAAGCCTTTATTTTCATGGTGACTTTTTTTTATTACGTTTGCTGTGGACTCTATTTCGCGGAATGTGCTGAATTGATTGCACATAAATGGAATGGAAAGTAAGAATCGAAGGTAGAAACCTCATTAAATCAAGGTGTGCCAAAGTGAATGCCGATTTGGTGCTAATTAATTGAATGTCGCAATTTCTAATTCGGACGTGTTGCAAAACAAATGTTAGGTCTATAAACGAAATTGAACGCCATGAAAATGAAAAGGAACCAAACAAGTAGCAGCATGATCAAAATTGCTTGAATATGTATATATGATGTAAAAAAAAAATGAAAGTATTTCTGAGGAATTTGATGAGCGGGAAAACTGATTTTTAATCACTATTAATAATGCATGTAATCAGGCGCGGTTCTAGAGCGTATATTTTTGGGGGGCTAGCAGGTTTTTTTTTCTCCGGACACTTAGGCCTCCGAAAATCAATAGGGGGGGGGGGGGGGGGGGGGGGGTGGGCTCGTACCACATCTTCAGTGGGGAACGCTTATAAAATCCTACAATCATATCATGCACACTGTAATACCATATAGTGTACAAATGCCTCCTTCTCACGACTATTTTTCGGGGGCTGAGATAATTCGCACGTCAACTTCTAAAATTGCCTACTGCCTTTTTTTTATGGATTTTTTTTTTGGGGGGGGGCTATAGACAAACAAAACAAAAAAATGGGGGGCTACAGCCCCCCCCCAGCGCCCCCCCCCCCCAACCGCACCTGAATGTAATTCTATGTATAAATTCCTTCATTTGTGCACAATGCAGTCCATACAATGTTTCAAAAGGTTTTTTGTTATCGTACAGACAGCTTTCACAAGCTTTTGAAATCGCCAATTGATGTACCATGGGATCACTGTAATTTGTAGTATGCACAGTCCTTGGTAGAAGCCACAAACTTGTCTGCACTGACCTGTGAGCTGGTGACGTTGTTGAGATGACACATCTTCCCTGACAAGTTGAAGGAGCGGCAGTTGGGATCCTTGTAGCAGGCCATACAGCATTGTATCGGGTGCTTGATCTGGGTGAGCATGTAGGCGTGGTCCAGCAGGCAATAGGGCGTGGTCATCAGGCCAGCATCTTGCTTGGTCAAAGCTTGGCAACGAGGTGCAGGATTTGGGAATGGTTTCTCACATATGACTTGCC